TCGATTTGTTAACCCAGCTATTGTTTTGACTAATAAATTTTCTCGAAATTGATATTGTAACACAAATAATCTTATATGGATCAATTAAAATAAATATCGCACTTAATGAGTTTCAAATTTCCAATTGAATAATAATTTCATCGAAAAAGAAAGCTCCCACAGATTCGGTTTTATCTGAACCAAATTTTAGATATGTGACAAATAAATAGAGAAAATTTAATACAGAAAGAAGGCAATCTACCTTAAATGAGAATACGAAAAAAATATTCTATTGATATAGAAATATTGCTAGAATTGCTAGAAATTGATTGTGACATAAAATAGAAGTAATAACCTAAAATTGTGCTTAAAAATTAAATTTATCTTTAAACAACAATTAATCGTGCTTCTTCTTATTTACCATTTTTAACTATCATAAACCTAATCGAAATAATTTTTTGTAATCTCTCGAAAGAAATAATTTTAAATTATAAGTTTTTAGTTTGTACTTTAAATTCGGCTAAAAAAAAATTGCCATGGAGCCCTATCACGTATTATCAGATTCCTAGCAAAAATTTAAGTAAAAGTGAGAGAAAGGAAAAATGAGAGAAACCAAAGGCCAAAAATTTTAATTTTGTTTTTGAGACAACTAGTTGAGTAATCTGATCTAAGATAGAGTAAGAGGAACTATACAATTCGAATTTAAATATGACAACATTATTTATTTATGAAATATAATTTTTCTATATTGTTTTCAATTCCATTATAAACACCATGTAGTCTACACCATCTAGATTTACTTTCGGAATTGAAAAGGTAATAGAACAAATGGGTTAACTAACATTTTGACGAAAATCGAGCTGCTCGTATAAAACATCATTAAAATTTCACATATTTTCAACAGTAATTATTCTTATAGCTAACAAAAAAAAATTAATATATTTACAATTTATTAATAAAAAAAAGTGTCAGGATGCTAAAATGTAAGTTAACCTCTTTCTCCACTTCTCCGTTTCTTCTCAGTATATACAGGGTCTAATTCATTTTAAAACTAACTCATTGAAGAAAATAATTTGGTATAAAATAGCAATTACTGTACTCTATTTTTCTCAATAACTCCTAAACCAGATCAGGTAGCGTGATCATTCGTACAACTAATTGAAGCTCAGTTGTCAAGGTTACCACCTGTACTAAAATTGGAGAAAGCTCACATGTTACGTCACCTAGAAAATTAACCATTTTTTAAAAATGAAAAGTTAAAATTTCAACTTTTTCGAACAGATTATAACTAATGTAGATATTCATAAGAAATTCGTTATTCTGAAGCTTCCAAATCATGTTTGTTAATGCACCTGTCTTACACAGTCGTGGAGTTATACTTAAAATTTCAGAAAGTAAAAAAATCAGTTAAAATTTACTTTAAGCTCCTGTAGCTCCGAACCTGTTGACCTGTGAACAGGGTCTCCATATAAAAGTTTTGTCTACTCATGAGGGCATATACAATGGCATATAGCAATGCACTTTGTGATGAGACACCCTGTATTAAAATTATGAGAAATTTTTCTTATATTTGTTTATTTTAGTTTCGTCGATTCTTATTCTACCCAAAAAAAAAAAAACATTGTTAAAATTATAATAAAAATGAATTAAAAACGGTAAAACTAATTTGTTATTCCTATATAGATCAAGAATGTTACACCTTATGTCTAAACCTTTAATATATAGGGATTATAATTTTTTATTAATTTTTAAACTGATAAAAAAAAAAATTTTAAGTGTTTTTCTTTTTGTTTTTAGCTTTTACCTAACGTAATTACGATAATAAAATTTTATTTATCTCCACATGACAATATAGTGACTAGCAATGATTACTTATCAAGTATATATTGTGAGAGATTTTCTTAAAACAAAAGACAGTAAAATTTTTAAACGTTCAGTCTCATCCTGACAAAGCTACAATATAATAGCATTGAAAATTCATTACTGAAAATCAAAACGAGATTTTTTTTTTTCAAATATATAAGAGAAAAATTTCAAAAAACAAAAAAAAATACAATGGGAGATTCTGTTATAAGAAAGTAATTTTATATACAAATAAATTAAATTTGAATTTTTGATTTCGAGGAGAAAGATTACTTTTAAAGCAGTCGAAAATAACTTTTTAATAAATTTAAAAAAAAATCTACCATTCAATTAAATATTGTGAATTTAAAAACAAAAAAAAAAGTGAAATACAAAAGATCTATCTTGAAAAAAACTAATTTTATTCGAATTTATCTAAAATTAACTAGATTTTATAGAATTTTGTTTTAAACAAAAAAGACAAAAGAAAAATTTTATACTCGTAATCGTTTTAAAAAAAAAAAAATTAAAACACTTCAAACTATACAAAATTGTTTACGTTAAATTAGTAAACAATTTTAGATAAGAAAATTTTAAATAAACACCATTTAATAAATTTAATAAATAACGGTATAAAATTTTTTTTATATATAGATTGTATAATAAAACTAAAATTGTAAAATTGTTTACGTTCTGTAAACAAAATGTAATTTTTCTTTTTTTAATTTTTAAAGCCAATATAAAATTAATAAAGATAATAATTGTAAAATATTTCATACGTATACATTTTTTTAAATATCGTAAAAATTTTATTAAATATCGTAATAAAATTAGTAAAAATCTGAATTCTTTTGAAAAGCCATAAAATTTGAAATGTTTATGCGTGAGGAAAATTTTTTAAAAATTTCATCTTCAAAAAAAATTCTTTTTTTTTTTTTATGTTCTTACGCATATTGTGAAATTAATTTTGTTTAAATAAGTTAAAAAATTTTCAATCGGCAAATGAAATATACCCTATACCGTAAGTTGTTTATACAAAGCAACAAAAAAATTTCAAATATATGATTTCTAAAATTAAATGCATTTTGTGTAATGTCGAATAAACAAAATGTTTACCTAATATCATAATTTATAAGATTTTCGAGAATTCGTATAATGATTCCAAAAATTTATGTGGCAGCTGCTGGAAATATCCGATTAAAATTCTTTTAAGTTTTTAAGGAATATATAGTGTGGAGCAAATTCAATAAATTTCAAAACTATTTTTATTAATTTTATTAAGATTCTAAATTAATTTTAAGAGTTTCATAAACGAATAATTATCAGAAGTCAGAGAGTTCATATGTAGAAATTATAATTTAATATTTTGATTAAATTCATTTTCAAATTCCACACATAGTTTTCTCAACTAATTTTTAAAATATTTAAAATTACCTTTCAGGACTGTATGACACCTACCAAAACCATAATGTCAAGCATTTCCATTAAGACTTCTACAATAAGTCTGAACAATAATTGGACACATAACTGCTGAATTCCATACAACCAGGCATTACCTTTAAAATTATTTGAAACTGAAATTAGCTTTTTGAGTTATATAGCAACTAACCAAAACAATTGTCCGAATTTATTCAATTGAAATAGTAGGCGGCCTTTGCGAAAAGAAATAATTTCTGAATGTTTGGTAGCGTTTGCTCTATTATTGTTTAATTTAAAATGCAATCGGGCGGTCTTGATGGATGAAAAAACAGACATGTTTAAATCAACGCAAAATTTCACGCTGATTACACACTATATACATACCAATACACTTCTCATTAAGGTGTATAGGGTATAGAAATATTAAATTCAAATGATATAATGGTAATCATATAAATCACATAAATGATTACTACCTACACGCTGTGAAAATTTATAAAATCAAACTTTAAATAGATGCTATTACAATCTTAAATATATATACCCTCTCTTTATCGAACAATTAATTAAGCTATAGAACAAAAGAAACAATAATACATAAGAGACACATGTTATGAAAAAAAAATGGCACACTCTCACTTAAAACTAAAATTATTTTTTTTTTTTAATTAGCAAACGTAATTAATTAAATTTTTATTTGTCTCACACTTCCAGTTTCAGTAAATTATATTTTACACAGAAAAACTACACAGTAAAAAATTTCTGTAATTTTACACAATTTTTCCTATACAACATTATTCATAGTACTCACAACGATTTATTAAGCAAAACTCCCAAAAACCCTTGTTTTGGGAGAGTAATTTTAAATTCTTTATACAATATTTAAAGTATTTTTACATTTATCGAAGCAGTAAAAAATTACATTTACAAATGTACTTTTTACACTAGAAATTGTAAGGATTACTGTTCTAAATGTATTTTTTACAACTTAAAATTTACGATTTACCCAATTGTAATGTATTATTAATCATGAATAGCAAAATTATAACAGCCTTATATTTCTAGTATGGTTAATGTTGGCAAATCGGCTGCCAACATTTTTCGTAGTAAATTTCCATAAAAATTTTTTACAGTGTACTCAAATATTCGAATATTTGGAAAACATTTAAATTTTAATGAGAAAAAATTCATCTTGTATTTTATGTGCGAAACGTGTTTTCTGATATTTATTATTAATTATTTTAAGTTTAGCCTGAATGTGAAATATGAATACAATTTTACCGTTAATCTATTAATAATTTACAAATATTCAATTGTAATTCAAAGTTAATTAGTAAACAGTATTTATGGCACTTACTGCATTAACTAAAAATATCTTACTTCAATAATTTTAAAATTAAAGAAAAATAAAAGTATAAAATTTTATACCAGCCGATATATTGGGAAAATTGGACGCGAACAACTCGAATACAAAGTACAGGTCTGTAAAATGTTAATTTGTGAAAATGTTAGAACTATGAGACACCTTTTTGGCAACAAACAGGAAAAAACCTAATTTTTCTAGCTTTACAGAATCTACACTGTGTCTTATTTTTCTTCATTTTGTTTTTCAACTCCAAAGATTACCCTTATTTACCACAACTTAATTGAAAAAACCATTTTACATTGCAATTTGTTAATTGTAAATTTTCATCAATTTTTTTGCTCATAAATAATTAAAAGTTGTAAAATTAAATTTAAAATTTTTTTAATTTTTTTAGTGATATGGGAACATTTTCAACATGGGATTACGTAGTATTTTCATTAGTTTTAGTGATATCCGCAGGAATCGGTGTATATTTCCGTTTAACCGGTGGAAAACAAAAAACAACCAAAGTAAAAATTTCTGAATTTCTCTGTTAAACTTTGATGTATAAATTTCACTAATTATTTTGAATAAATTTAAGGAATATTTATTAGCTGACAAAAGTATGTCAACACTACCTGTAGCATTTAGTTTAATGGCTAGCTTTATGTCTGCGATAACACTATTAGGAGTTTCAACTGAGAATTATCAATTTGGAACGATGTTTGTTATTATTAATATTTCATATATTATAAGTACACCGATTGCGGCCTATCTATTTTTGCCAGTATTTTATAGAATGAATACAACAAGTGTTTATGAGGTAATTTTTAAATGAGTATATTTTTTAATTATTGATTAATTTTATTAAATTTTTTTTATTATATTTTATTTTGTATATGTTTTATAAATTAAAGTACTTAGAAAAAAGATTTGGTAAAGCAGCAAGATTGTGCGCTTCTTTAGCGTACTCTATTCAAATGATATTATATATGGGCATTGTACTTTATGCACCAGCTTTAGCCCTTGAAGCTGTAACTGGAATTGGAAAGACTGCTGCTATTTTAACTATAGGTAAAGCAATAAGTAATCGGTTTTTTTTTGTGATTATTCTATATTGTGCACATTTTTGGCCTTTTTACCAATACTCTTATCAACAATTATTTAATTTAATTTTCAGGAATTATTTGTACATTTTACTCAACAATTGGAGGGATGAAAACAGTTATTTTTACAGATGTTTTCCAATCAATACTTATGTTTGCTGCAATTTATAGTGTAATTATTACAGCTGCAATTAAAGCAGGTGGATTAGCACCAATTTGGGAGATTGCTGTTGCAGATAAACGAGTTGAATTTTTAAAGTATAATATCAATAATTAGTTTTTATAAAAATTTTGCATTAAGTTTAATTGAAAAAATTAAAAACAAAATTCTTTTTGTAGTTTCGATTTGGATCCAACAACACGTCATACGTGGTGGTCATTAATTATTGGTGGTATGGTGACCTATTTATCACTCTATGGTGTTAATCAAGTACAAATACAACGACTTTTAACTGTACGTAATTTAAAGTCATCACAAAGCTCTCTTTGGATGAATATTCCAATTTTATCATTATTAAGCTTTAGTACATCATTTAGTGGTTTAGCGATTTATTACTACTATAGAAAATGTGATCCATATTTGGAAAAAAGAATTAATTCAAGGGATCAAATAATGCCTCTTTTTGTACTCGATACAATGGGTGATTATCCTGGATTATCTGGCCTCTTTGTATCTGGAATATTTTCAGCAAGTCTTTCAACTGTTAGTTCTGCTGTTAGTAGTTTAGCTGCTGTTACTTTAGAAGATTATTTTAAACCACTGTACAGATGTGTAAAAAAGAACACCATTCATGATGATCATTCTTCTTTATCTTCTAAAATTATGGCATGCGTATATGGTTTTGTTTGTATAGGATTGGCATTTGTAGGTAAAATATTCAGAAATTAAAATAAATTACAAAATTTATTGTTCTTGAAAAGTTTTCCTTAGCCAAGAAAACGTAACTTATATTTTTTTGTTTTTGCAATAACTTTAATTACAATAATTTTTAAAATAATAATTTAATTTAATATTTTAACATATTAATAGCACAATCGATGGGCGGTGTACTTCAAGCATCTTTAACTATATTTGGAATTGTTGGTGGACCTCTATTAGCTTTATTTACATTAGGAATGTGTACAACAAGAGCTAATCAAAAAGGTGTATTAATTGGTCTTTTTATTGGTTTAGCATTTTCGTTTTGGATAGGATTTGGAATAAGTAAACCACCACCAAAAACATTAGATTTTACAACAGAAGGCTGTCCAATTAAGAATTTTACACAATTATTGGAAACTCAAGCATTAACACAAGATTCGGATCAGTAAGTTGATCCCAAAAATAAATTTAAAAAAATTAATTTGCTAATTAAAATTAAATTTGAAATAATTTTTAATTTAACTAAGAAGCTAAAGAATAGCTTTATTAAAAAATTTTAAATATAAAAGAAAAATTTTTGTTTTTTTGTTTTTTTTTAGGTACTTATGGATTTCCAAAATATCTTACTTATGGTATTCAGTTTTAGGTTTTATAATCTCTTTTACTCTTGGATACATATTTAGTATTATAATGGAAAAATTAAAATTTGATTTAAATGATCAAATTTATATTAATTCGAATAGAAATTGTTTAAATTATGATCTTTTTATACCACCACTTGCAACATATCTAAAAGGAGAAGCTGTTAATCGTTTAGCTGCATTAGACAATATTAGTAATAACAATGAAAATCTTAATGGTAAATCTAATGAACAAGTAATACTTTAGTAGCACAATAGAAAACCAAAAATGCACAAAATTATTTTTTGTTTAATTTTATGTTTTAAAATTTTAATTTAATAGCAATAAAATTAATTCTTTACCGATTGCTTTTGTATGTGTTCAATTAATCCAAAATTCAAGTTAAAGTATTTTTTATTTGTTAATATTCTTTTTTAAGATTAAAAGATTTAAATACATTGAGGATAATGACTTCATTAATACTTGAATTTAATTTAATAGTATATTAAAAAAATTGTCCTACTAAAACTATAATTTGTGCAGATTGAACATATACGAAATCAGCCGATATTAAATGTATATAAAGAGAACGCTTAATTAAAAAAAACAAAAAACATACAATACTAAAATTTAGTAAATAATTATGCTATACTTAAATTGTAACTAATAAATACATTGCAATTGTAAATTAAAAATATTTTAGGTACATATAAAAATATTTTATAATATAGTTATGTAATAATATACAAATATTATTACATAACTATATTATAAAATATTATACAATTTTACATTAAGAACTTTAATATTAATAAAATGTAAATAGTTTTTTAAAAAGGTTATTCACCTAAAATAACAATTTAATTATTAGAAATTTTTATCTACAAATTTTTTTTCGCATTTTAACCCAAATAATCATTTTAATTTCCATTTTTTTTACAACTATACTACTTTTTTACATTTTTTACAACTAGACTACTCTTTTACATTTTAAGTAAATATTTTAATAATTTCGATTTTGCTTTGTTTAAAAAATGTAAAATTGATTTTAAAAAAATGAGTTCCTTCAGAGTCTTCCAAAAATTTCTTATCTTTTAGCTCTTAAGCAGTAACATTTCTTGAAGAATTTTTCTTGAAAAAAATTTAAATTTTTAAATGATTCATTTTTGTTTCATACAATTGTTCCTATAATACCATTTACTTGCTATACTATTTAAAAACATATTAATACTATTAAAAAGACTTCATACAAATACAATGCGCATATACTAAAGTAAATTTTTTTGTTAAATTAAATTATTATAATATTAATTATAATATAGCTCACGTTGCTATTAAAATAATTCTTTTTAATTTCTTATGTAATTTTTAATATTCTAGTAAATGTGCATAATAAAAAAATATGCTTTGATTTACAAATTATATAACAATCTTTAAAATTAGTTATGATTATTTTTAAAATTTATGATAAATTTTTAACATTCTATACAAAAATATTTATTTAATCATAATTTAAGTATAAGATATTTCTTTTGCTAATTTACATTTAAGTATTTTTTTTTTAAGTTAAGACACCTAATTTAAATATTTGCCTTGTATATAATGGTTTTGGAATAAATGCTAAATTTGTTCTTATAATTTAAATTTTCACAATATTATTTTGAAACCTTACTTGCACTTCATTATTAATATAAACTTACTAATTTCAAATTTACTTACTTTATATTAGTTATATTTAATTTGAAATATGTACATTTATTAAAATCTGTTTTAAATTTTATTAAAATCATTTTTTACAAAAGTTTAAATATTTTAAATGCTAAAGTCAAGCGTCTTGACTCAAGATTATTTGCTTAATATCAAAACTATAATCTTATGATTGAAATGGCTACTTTTCATGTTTAAATTTACTTCAAAATACGTATTATAATATGTATGTACATTTATTATTTTGTATGTACATATATTATATAAATATTGTTTACTTTTTACAGTTTCCACAATTATTTATATACCTAGACAATCAATTTAAAAATATTCCCTAAAAATCAAACAAAAATACAATAATTTATAAAATCGTTCTTTTGCGGCAACAATGACATAACTTAAAAAATACGATTTCTAAGTTATTTATACAGAGATATGTGCTTAAAACATTTCGTTTTTGTGCAAAAGCAACATTTCTTTAGCTTAAAACTCGCCATATTACAATAAAATATAAATTATTACTATAATAAGAAAAATATATTAACTCCGTTTTTCTCAAATGTGCAAATTTTGAGTCATGTCAGTGTTACAGTAAACGAACGAAATTATTAAAAATATTAATTATAAGTAAAAGTTAGACAAAAAATCAACTTCTAATTAGTTCAAATTTCAATTCCTTAAAATACATATTTCTTTTTCATTAAAATGAACCTTAAAAATTAATAGAAGAAATTAATGGAATTTATAAAAATTTAAGTTATAAATTATAGGCTAATTTTACACCAATTAAGAGTTTACAACCTATTGATATTTAAAATAAAAAATCAAAGATAATATAATCAATAAAAAATCTTATATGTATTATATAAATATTAAAATAAATTTGGAATTTATGGTTCTAATCATCATTGACACTTATAAAGTAGCCCCTGCTTATGTATTATAAGATTACCAACATATTTTACATATTTATAAATTAATATATATCCAAAAAGCTCAAGTAAAATATTAAAACTCATTGTAAACATTAAAACGATATCATTTTATTTAATAAATGCTTAAATTAAGAATTTTTATGTTAAATTTGTAAATTTAATAACGAATCAATTTCATATAGTCACATATGGATTCAAACTCGATTTATTTTTTAATACTAACTTATAAACCTAATAAATTTTGTTTGCATTTTTTGTTAAAACAGGTCTCTTGATATCAGATTCATCAAAAAATGATTATGTAGAAAACGATATTTTAAAATATAACAAGGTCCCCAATAACGATCAATTTAGCTGAAAGAATTATTCTCAATTAACAATTAGAATTTATTTTAATTTTGTATATTATATACATGTATTAATATACATTCATGTATATAAGTTATATATTAAGTGCTTTAGTTAAATAAGCTAAGAAATTGGTAGAAAAAAAAATTTTATTTTTTAAACTATGTTTTATATTATATGCAATAAGTATATTGCAATGAAATTGTCTTCCAAAATTACAATTTTATGTATCTGTTAGTTTAGATATATGTGTGTTGCTTTATTATATAAGAGAACAATAATTTATGTACAATAACTGTTGAATCTGAAAAATTTATAAATAAAAAGTTGAAAAGAATAAAAAAAAGTATATTTAATTTTGTTTGTGTCAATACCTTAGTAATAAAGTTTACTCCCCTTGTCACATTCAATTTACAATCCGAGCTTACCATTACATTAATAAAAGTTCATATCCATAATCATATTATGAAAGTACATCTAAATAAAAGAAATTGGTTCCAACTTTCTAATTTGTGAAATAAAAATAAATGTAAACTTGTTTAGTACTCAAATATATATTTCTCTTTTGCAGTAACAATTCTTACTTAAAACAATTATTTATTTTGCAAAATTTTTAAACAATTTTATAAAAAATTCATTAAAAATATCACGAAAGTAGAAATACATATTTATTTCAATTTCAAAGCTTCATGAAATAATATCGAAATAATATTAATTAATAAGCTTGTTAATAATATGAATTTCAAAGATTCACAATTAGGGAAAAAATCAAAATAAATCATTACTTTGTTCTTCAAATATAAATAAATATTGCATAAATAATTACAAATTCTTATTTTAAAAATTTCCAGTATATAAGTATGTATTTTCAAAATTCATTTTTAATACTATCGACCTATTTTACCATGGATTTTAATGCTTTTGTAAGTTCGATATTTGGAAAGGATGCAAAATCGCCATTTGCTGCTCTATATGGTTTACGTTCTAAGTATTCTTTCATAACAGCGGCTGCCAATTCACTCGCTTTAGCCTTTGGAAAAAAAAACCAATTATAAATTTATTACAAACATATTTGAAAATTAGTCAATTACCTTAATATCCTCCTGTTCATATTTCTGCTTATATCTATGATTCTGAATTAATTTCGGTACATTTGGTCGACTGGTATTGGCTTCTGGGAACTCTGACATTTTCATCATAGACATTACCCAATCCTTACAAAATAAAATATATGGAACATAAGAAACATACTACAAATAAATAAAATTAAGAATTTAATTACATATTTAACTTTTGCTAATTCATTTTCTAATTCTGTTAATCTTTTGTCTTTTGGTTGAGGCACATAAATTGGTTCCAGTTTTTGCAATTTTTTCTTCATCACTTCAGCCTGTAATTTCAGTCTTTCATTTCGTTCTTCAAGAAGAACCCTTTTAAGTAATGCAATTTCTTGTGCAACATGTGGAGAACTTGCAGAAATATCTGAATTTTCAAAAAAATAAGGAATTTCGTTAAAAAAAAGTACAAATTTTTATTTTAATGTTAAAGTTTTACCGAATGCCATTGAATTTTTCAAATCTCCACCTTTCTTTGAAGTTAAACCTTTGAGTTTGTCACGAAGGGCACCACGCTCGTCTTCTAACGAATCGATATCTTTTTGTAAATGATCCATTGTCTCCTCGTAATCTCTTTCTTTCTTTCTTAGAAGTGCTACAGTTTCCTCGTATTGTTTTTGTAATTTTTGTGTACTAGATTCAAGATCATGTTGCAATACAGATAGTTTCTTTTCAGCAATATCTTTGCGGATTTGCATTTCTGATAGTTCATTTTGTTTCATTTTTGCTGCCATTTTCAATTGCTTTATTTCAGCATCACGATTTTCCAGTGTTGCTGTTAATGTTTTAGTTTCTTCTAATTGTTTCTTAACAAATTGGGCCCTTAAAACTATTGGAGCTATTGGTTTTTCTTCCTTTGCATTTACAATAGACATAATTTCGTATTCATTATCCAGTAAATATTGTGCTACTTGTGTTAAATCTAATCCAGCTGCTGATAAAGTGTTTTTAATGTTTTGAGATGGACCGCGATCATCTTGCTCGTACACCTGTTCACAACTCGTTGCCAGGACTTCCCAAAGTTTTTGATGAGAAATTGATGGATCACTTTCATTTTCTACTGTAACATTATGTAAAATACTTTTAGCAGTTAAATGAAGAACTTGAACGATCTTTCCTATTTGATCATTTAACAAACGAATATTTTGTACAGTTTTACTAGCTAATCCGCATTTCGTTACATGAGGATCCTACAAAATATATAAAAAAGAATATTATATACTAAAATTTTAAAAGTTAATTGAAGCAGTCAATTAATATATCTTACCTGTGGTAACCTTCGTTTAATTAATTTCAATTGCTGTTTGATATTATCGATGTTTTGAATAATATACTGCATTAACAACCCAGATTCACTGGTATCATCACCACCCGCAATCATTGCCCTTATAACAGCTGCGTCCGTATATATTGAATCACAAGACGCTCCCATAGATGCAATCGTATCTTTTAGTAATTGTGCTTCATTGATCAAAACTTCTTCGTTAAATACTACGGTGTTCATAGCATTAAAGAACATTACACACTTTTCAAGATCTATATAAAAAAACATATTAAACCAAGCTTTTGGAAGCCTTTTCGCATTAATACTTACTTTCAGTAGATGAATTTTCATCAAGTTGATTTACCTTCAGCAACTCAATTACACCATCCACAATTTTCTCTTGTGCTACAAGTTCTGGCAACGAAGCTCCTGCTTTTAACAAAGTTTCAGGTTTACAAGTATTTAAACCATACAAAAATTGATGCATCACACTTTGCAAGTTATGTATGTGATATAATAATCTTGATTTAAAGGCGAATTGTTGAACAGAATGACCTTGTAAAATTACATTTTTATCAATAGTTGTTACTGAAGGGAATCTATCACGCGCCTGACTTACAATAATTCCAGATTTAAAAACTATTCTTGAAATTAATAAAATTACCAATATAGCATCATGATCACTGCCTCTATTCATAAATGTATCAGGCATATAAGCAGTGAACATACGAATGTGTTCATTCGCCTGCGACAAATCAATTTGTCTAAGCTGAACGTCAATAGCACGGGTAAATGCTTTTGATTCAGCAAACATTTGTTTAAAATCAATTGTTTCTGCAATGGAATTTTTAGTTGGTGATAATTTGTTGTTTTCATTATTCTGTGTAACTTTTTCACGCATTTCAACAATTTGATCATTTAATTTTTGTACTAATTCTCGGAATTTCAATATAGTTTGATCACGATCTACAACTGTCTCCAAAGCGGCTTCCTTTTCACGCAACATTTCTCTTTTAGCAGCTAGCGCCATATCTAATTCTTCACGTAAATCCATTTCTAAATCATGATTACTTTCGATCAACTGTTCATGAACTTCTTCAAGAGCTTCCAACTCTTTAACCTCTTCTTCCAATAACTTCACTTTGTCTTCTAATTCCATTTTCTTTTCAGCAAGCTGCTCAACCATTTCCTCTGCACCAAGAGCTGCGTCAACTTGTTCCTGCAAATCAACCACCTGTGCTTCCAGTTCATCTACTTTTTGCGACAATTTTTCTTTAGTGCGTTGTAATTCGGCAACTTCTGATTTTTTTGTATCCAGTTCTTTGGAAACTTTTTGAATTTCATGTTTGTCATGTGCAGTTACATCTCTAAGACGTACTAAGGTTTCTCTCAAACGAACATTTTGCTGTTCTAATTGTTTAAACTCATATTGAGAAACACCACCGGTCACATTACCATTACCGGTTCGAATAACTCCTCCATCAACATCAGATCCACATCTATTTGACATTTCAGTTTGAAGAATTTCCAAATCTAAAGTAAGTTCTTCAATCCGTTCCTTCGCCTGTTCCAATTCAATCTGCAAAGTGTCAGCTTTTTCTTCTGCCATTTCTTTGTCCAACGTTATCATTTCAACATTTTCAGATAATTCTGCCATTTCTTCTTGATGTCTTTCACGTGCTTCAATTGCATCCTTAGCTTCTTGTCGGGCTCTTTGCAATTCTCTTTGCAGTGAACTTTGAGCTTCGATAATTTTCGATTTAAATTCATGTAATTGTTCAAATTGCGTTTTCATTTTTTCATATTCACGTAAACGTTCTTTATCCTCATTACGACGAATTTTCAATGTTTCCAACTTTTCACTAAGATCAATATTTTGCTTTTTAAGATCTTCGATCTCTTGTTGTTGCTGCAAATTTTGTAATTTATCTTCAACTGAGGGCTGTGGAGCTGGTGATGGTGACATTAAAGCTTGGCCAGGAGTAAACTGAGGTTTTAAAGTTTCTAAAAAACCAGTCTAAAATAATAATATTAATTTTATAAAAATTATATATATCAAGATAAGCCAATAAAAAATACAACTTCTACAAATGATGCTCTCTTTGGAGGTGTCACAGAATCCGGAGGACTTAAGCTATTCTTTCTTTCAGGATCTGCTCCCGAGACAGATGCAGTAGCTGTTGATGATGGTCTATCTGTTGATGGAGATGCTAGTTGGCTTCTGGATCCCAAAAGACTTTGACGACTACTCGACATCGAAAGTCGAGAACTTTACAAATAAAAGAAAAAAAAGAAGAAAAAACAAAAAAAAAATTATTTCTAACCTTATTAATTGTTTTCTAAATAAATTTTTTTTTGAATTGGTCTTTGTGTTAAATATAAGAATTTATAAGAAAACTTTAGGCTGCGAAGGTGGACGCCAATAAAATGTTGCCAATAATTGCAAATATTGAAAATTTTGAGTGAACAGCCTAAAGTTAAAAAGAATACATGTATATATATATATATATATATAAACAAATATATATGTAAACATGTACAAGAATGAACACGACAGACAAAAAAATTGATGTATTTCTAACCCATTGTGTAAATGACATTTGCAAAATTTATTTTAATGAATCTTAAAAGTCGTTTAAAATGGAGTCTTTTGAAATGTACTGAATTTTATAAGCACAGCTATAATTACCTTCACATCTATTTAAATATCTTTCAAAACTAAATAATTTGAATCTCATATTATTTAATATCCAGATACTACTCGTATAAGAGTTAACTAAAACTTAAAATTTTTATTCTTTTCCGTCTAATGATTCTCCAAAAAGAATTTAAAATTACTGAATGCTATTTATATTGTAGTCGGATTTTACAAATTATTTTAATTTTAATTTTGAAATTAAAAAAAAAAAAATTTTCGGCCTAATTTGTAGTTTTTCTACTTAATTTTTAAATGAATGTCACTAGGGGGAAAGAAATTGGAAGGACTGATTCAAAATTTTCTATTCTTTTAAGAGATTTTTCTATCTAATCTAAATTTGATATAAATTGATATCGAAAATTTTAATGAAATTGGTAAACTGAATATGATATTTATTGAAAATATTTGTTTAGAATTTCAACTGAAATTTCACAATATGATTAAAATTCTTTATGTTAATTAAAAAATTGTCCAAATTAAAAATTGCTTTCGGCATTCTTTTTAAAAAATATTTTAAATTATCAATTTTTAAAATTAAATTATTATTTAATTTAAAAAACAAAAAATTTAAGCGAAAAACTTCTAATACATTATAGAAATTCTAGCTCAAAATTTTTCTATAACAAATTTAAACTTCTTCAAATTATATATACATATATCTAATGAGTTATGTTAAACTCAAAAATTCAATTAAATTAGAGGAAAAATTTCCAATTGAAGGATGCTATTTGTAATGGGTAACTAAACATTTATTATTTGGGAAATATTCAATAATAATTATAGTTATAACTTGTTAATGAACATTTTTTGAATTCTACTCTACAATTTTAAATAAAATTTTAATTTAAAATTTATAAATAAAATTACGGCTTAACTTATACATATAATATGTATTTGATTTACCTATTAAGCATTTTCTATTATATTTTTTATAATTTATTTTTAATTTCTATTGCATGATTTTATATGAAATTGTATTTTAAGTAATAGAAAATAGCAATTTTGCTGATAATCTTAATTATTATGAAAATGTATAACAGACAAGGTGATATTTATTTTATGATTTATGAATTAGACTTTAATATTTTCAGAAAATCTTGTAGTATTTTTTAAACACCTTAATTTTTTAAATATTTATCAATTCCTTTTATATTATTCTAACTAAAGAATGTTACCTTAAAAACTTTTTTTTAAAATTTAATATAAAATCATTGACTAAAATTTATCGGTTAAAATTAGCGAATTAAAAAGAAATATTAAAAAAATTTCATATTGTCAAATAATTACTAAATAAATATGTAATTTATTTTTTTAATAATTTTTACTTCTCAGTTTAAGAATCGATAATAATGTAATAATCGATAGTAATCGATGTTTAAAAACAAATTAATAAATTTAATACATAAGTCTTATAGATTTTTTATTATACTTGTATAAAAACTAACATTCTTGCTTCTTTATTGAAAGTAGAACATTAATAAGAAAAAGGTATAATAACTATATGGGTTTATGAAAACACAAAATGTCAAAAACCAATTTACGAAAGTGCCATCTTCTTTTTGATAGTACAATTTTCGATAAAATGTAAATGATATTTGGGATAATCTACAGTGATGATCTTACCATAAATTTATTTTTTCATATATAATTCCACAATGTAAGAAGCAAAATAAAAAATTTTACATATATTGATTTTTAATTAAATACAAGATAATAAATAAAAAAAATCTGTTTTTAAACTTTAAAATGGCTGTTCTGTTCCTAAATTTTACCTTTTAATAAATTGTTTACTTAAAACTAGAAGTGTGTTAAAAAAAATTACGTAAAGTAATTGAATAATTTTCTTATACAACAAAAAAATCTTTAAAGATTAAAATGAAATTATTAAATATAATATAATATAAAAAATATACAGAAATGTATAAGGTGTAGTAAGTGTAATTTAGGAAAATATTTTGTAAATAGTGAAAAAATACAAAAAAATGTTATTAATGAAAAATATTACTAATAAATGACATGAAATTACCATGAAAATGATTGAAGAAAATAAAATATTAAATGTTGATAAAAATCATATTTTTTTTTTAAATATATTTTAGTATTTCGATTGATAATCTAAATTTGGCAATACAAATTCCAAGATTTTCGTATATTACATGCGGAGTTTTTCAAATATTGTTTTTGTTTATATTTATTTTACATATAATTTTTATGAATAATTCCTTTATTAATTATAAGCTATAACATTCTCTATCGACAGCATTAACGCATTTTTTAACGACCATTTTTTTTAATAATTCGCCGAAAAATTAAAAAAAGTTTTTAAAAATGTTTTATGCCAATTATTTTTGAAACAATATTAATAAAAATTCTTCTAATTTTGGAACATTATTAACTTGAACTTTGTTATAAATAATAATATATACGAAGTAACTAAGAATATAATTAAAAAATTTGGAATACTATACAATTTATTGGCCCGAAAATCATTTCTAATTCAACAAATAGTTTTTACTTTATTTAGTATCTACTTATTAAAATACCTACTTTGACAACACATTTACTTATATCTAACTGTCTTAAAATTTATACTAAAGATTATAGAAAATAACAATAATTATTTCATAGAATGTTATTAGAAAGATATTACTTGAATTATTACACAAAATTACAATTTTATAAAATCATAAATTTAGATATTCCTTCCAAAGTTCATTTGTATATATATATATAAAAAAATATAATAATTTTGTAACATTAACTTGTGTTTTACTGTAAAACTACTTATAAAATTGAAAGAAATTCTTTTGTAACATTGCTAATCCAATAAATAATCTTAAAATTAAAAAAAAAACTATAAAATAAAAAATTTCAAAACGCTTCAAAATTTATTAATTGGCAAATTATTTTACAAGCTGCCTCAGTTTAGTACTCACTATAATTAATCTCAATATTCATTTACTCTTTACTTTTTTTATTTGTTTTGCTTTCTTGCAAATCGAAAACTACAAGTTAGAAAGACTCTCTCCAATTGTTAATTATCATAATTGGCCCAATTATAGTGACTTCTATGAAAATTTTATACGACATTTGTACAACTTATTATTTCTATAGCTTATTTATTTGAAATTACTAATTAATTTTATATTAATTCTTTAATATAAACTTCTTCAAAATCATTCTTATATAAATAAAATTAACGTTTTAAAATTTTACCCTACACTTTTTTTTTAAACAGTCGACATCAATTTTTTTATCATATCAAACAAAATTAAATTTTGACTAAATAATTTGATTTAAACTAAAGTATGTAATTCAAATAAAATTAGTAATAATAATTTATAACATAAATATATTAGACAAAATAATAATATATATATATATAAAAATAATATAAAATATAGCATTTTTTTAATGGTTAGAAGAAGTATTTGTTAATTTCAAACCTTGACGCTGATGGTGGAAGATTATTAAGTTTGTTTTTCGGCTGAAGAGTTTTTATTGGAGATTTCCTTCTAATACTTTTATTTTTATTATTTTGTTATTTAATATTACGTAATTAAGTATATTTTAAAGAAAATTAGTATTAAATCCGAATATTATTCATTTAAAAAGTAGTTCAATGTTATTTCATTTGTAGATTAGGTTTTTTATTTTTTAAGGTTGTTTTATTATTCAGTTATTAGTTTAAGCAAGAGAATATCGTAACATATCCGTTAAATAGGATTTATAGGAAGCATGAAAAAAGTAATTTTATTAGATTTAATATTAGTTTTTAAAATATCTAAAATATAAAATTATTAAAATTAATATTTTATCTCTACAAAACAAATACATTTTAATATTTAATTAATGTGGATTCGTCTTTCCCATCATACATAATTGCCATTGTATAAATTAAATTTCTTTGCTTAAGGGAAACAATATGACAAAAGTTCGGCACTGTAATATGTAAAAGTTCGGCGTACGAATGTTGTTTGTATGTAAATATACGCAAAATTACCGCAATCATAAAATAAGCCAAAAATAAAACAACAAAAAAAATTCAATATTTAAATTCAATTTCTACTTTATATAAAAGAAACTTAATATCCGGTTTGTAATATTTAAAAAGCAAGAAAATATCAACTGAACAAATAAGAAAATATCAAATCAATTCAATATACATAATATATTTTATTCATTTAACTACTAATTGAAGTCAATTATGTGTGATAGACAAACATGTTTTATGTGCAATAATTCCATCATGCTTCGGAACACCACTTTGTGATCCTGTTCCTTTTTTTTGTTCAATAAGCATAATGATCAGTAATAATAGTTGACATTTTTGGAACCGATTTGTAATTGACTTCAGCGCTGATTGGATATTTTTAAATACAAAGTGATTAGTTAAATGAACTTATTATGCATAATGAACTAAATGCGGAAAAAAATTGATTATAAAACTTTCATCACGTATGCCATACGTACAATTTTATTGGATTTGTTTTAACTAAAAAATTAATTTTAAATAATTTGAACGAATCCACATTAACATTTTGTTAAGCTAAAAAAGTATATATTTCAAAAATAAAAATTATTAAACTTAATACTTAGTTATAATTTTAACTATGGAAAAACAAAAATAAATTTTTAAATAAAAAATATTTAAAAAAAAAAATTATAAAAAAATAAACTAATAAAAATTTACAAGGATTTGATAAGGAAATGATTTTTGATTAGTTTTAGAATTTGTTTTCTTTTTTTTTTTAACTTACGCTGTTGGTTTTGTTATACCAGGTAGGGAACGCACTGATCCAGAACTGATTAGCATCATCGAAATTTTCATATTTTTGTTTTTTTTTTTATCATTTTTTATTTTAAAATTTCGATATAGATATATCGGGAAATAATCGTTTTTAACAATATTTAATTAAATTAATTCATTAATAAAAAAAAAAAAACAAAAATTTTTTATTTAAATGATTTTTTTTTTGTTGAGTTTCATGAGAAAAAAAATTAAAAAATATGATTGTAAATAAATTTAATAATAATAATTGCATTTATATAATGTTTTAAATATTAAACGTAGTAAAAGTTAATCATTTACGAGAAACTAAATTTTGAGCTGTATATTTTTTATTACAATAGCTTTTATTAAAATTATCAAATAAATTATAAATCAAAATTTAGAATATTACTTTTTCTAATATATTTTCAAGTAGCTTAGGGAAAAGAATAAGAAACTTTCCACAAAAAACAGTACATTGAGATTGCCAACATAAGTATTAAAATAGAAAGTTAAATTGGTGCAAAAGTTTAAACTTTAATTTAATAGTTTGAAATTAAATTATTAATTTTTCTGTAGTAGTTTCTATCTTTATTCAAAAAATATGTACAACTATTCAACCTTAATTAAACTTTGGGAACAATGAAAATTGAAGGTTAACAAAATTATAATTAAAAAAAAATACATAAACATTATCTATGACCAAAAATCGACTCTTCAAAAAAACGGAAAAAGTCAATAAGTTTTTAAGTAATTTAAGAGAAAAAGAAATAACAGTCTTCTGTTATTTTCTCGAATCCATGTTTTGCAAGTTTTTAATTCATCTCTCAAATATATTACGAGTTCCGTTTCGTTAATTAAGCGTATATCCGTGAAATACAAATCTCTTTCTATTATTTTCATATAAAAGTTTTCTTTTTTAATTATATTTATATTAAAATGTGGCGGTCTCAATCAAATTATGTCAAAAGTCTTATACAAAGGTATATCAAGATTGAAGAACTATTTATGCTATGAACACCTCTAAAAAGCAAAATATCCACTATTAAGCTACACAAATTGTTTCAGCAGTACATACAACTAGATTATACATAACTAGATAAAATATCAAAAAAAATATTTATATTTATCAATTTTATACGGAATATAATCGAATATCATTCAAATAATTTTAGTATTCAAAGTATAAACATATAATTAATACAAAAGATAAAATTAAATTATGAAGAACTTTATTTCTTATATTTTCGAAAAATTACTAAAAAAAAAACAAAAGCAACATCTCGAAAAGTTTATGTATCGACTTAATTTTATAATTTTAAGATATTAAATAATCAAGTTTATATTACATACTGAAGCAATTAATTTTATTTAGAAAACTACTGAAAAAAATTTTAATTGATCATAAACCACTCTAGTTATTGAAACAAAATACATCACTTAGTGATACGTAGATAATATAAACATGGTAAAACTTTAAAAATAATTATTGTAAGCACAAGTCAATTTTTACAAATGACCTAGGTCTATATAATAAGGAATTTAAAATACGAGTATCTGTGATAAATAGCAATATAGTAATTCGCTTTTTAGAACAACTCTGAATAATAATATAACTCTAGTTTTTCATGTTTTTTTTTGGAAATTAAATTTAAAAAACACACAAATCAAAAATTAATATTGAAAATAACACAAAATGTATAAAATAGATTTATAAGTAAACGACGGATATATTCAATTACTAAGCTCTACTTAGTTTGACTTAAAAATAATTTCGAATACTACTTTAGCGATCGAATTGATCTCTTTACAGTGTGTGTACATATAGATATATATATATATATATATAGATATATATATATATATATATATATATAAATATATATATATATATATATACATATATATATATATATATATATATATATATATATATATATATATATGTATACATGTATATATATATATTGCTTAATTTTTTTATTTTTGAAATACAATATCAATTTAAACATTTTTCAATAAAACAAAATATTCTAACAATATCATTTTATTTTATAATTGATAAAATTTGTATAAATTTTCAATGAATTTGTTTGATTTAAACAATATTTGATTGAAAAATCTGATGGAACTCCACCCAATTTATGAATAATATTTGATAAACCCTGCCTAAGAATAATACTAATAATAAATTATTTATTAAATTATTTTGAGCCTGTTATTTTTTTTTTAAATGAACATTAATTTCATTATTTAAACTCGCTAGTCAAAATTATTAATTGCTCCTATTACCACATTAGTAAATTTTGTTTCGCACCAAACGTATGAACTCTTATAATATATAAAAAATTAAACAATTTGTATTTAAATTTTCCGAATAGGCAAATAAACGTAAAAGTGTAACAAATATTCAAAAAATGATTTATCCCAATGAATATGATAAAAAGTAAAAGCGGTAGGTTAACAACAGAAAAAAATAAAATACACAAATAATCATATGTATTTTTAACAAAACTTTTGTGATTTTTAAAAACAAAAAAGAGAAAAATTAAATAAAATTGTGACGAATATTCACTGCCAATATTTGAATAAATTAATATTAGAGAAATCTTACCTCGATTTTGTTTTAATCGATTTCGAAATATTCCTGAATAAATAATATCATAAAGTATTCATTTGTTGTAATATATACATAATTTTATTGTGAAAAACAAATATTTTTTTGTGCAAAATAATAAAAACAATAATTCTATAAGTCCAAATTCCTATTCATTCTAATTTTGTTGGCAGTGATATAAGCGCACTACAGCCTATATTTCAATACTACAAAATATTTTTGAAATAGAATTCAAATATTTTAAAAAAATTATATTGAACATTATTCGTTTTCTCAAAAAAAAAAAAAAACGAGATGTCTTTAATTTTGAAAAAATATTTACAATGTGCATTTTGCATTGCTTGCTCTTTCAATTTTTCTATTCTGCTTTACATTTAAAATTTTTCGAAGTAATACTTAGATTACATCTTACGTATTTAAAAAACTTTATATGGAAGTTAATTTTAGTTATTTTTGCTTTAAACAAAAGCAAAGAAAAAGCAATCAAACACAAATTAAAGCCGAAATAGCTATAATATCAATATTAAATTTTTGTTTCATCAATACATGATTAATTTACAATTAGTAATTTGCAAATTACCGAAAAAATTTTGATTTGGGAGCGTTTTACAGCTTTAAGCAAATGAATGTGCAAATAAAATATTTATTATTAGTGCCTAACAAGCCTGCAACCTCATAATATCAGTGATTGTAATTGCTTAATCATCACATACCTGCTAAGCCTAGATCTTGGCTGACGTTCTTCTGTATTTTCTTCAATTACATTATCAGATTCATCTAAAAGGCTTAATTGGCTGATTCTGACAAACATACCATAATTATCAGGACACTAAGTTAAAATATCATTATAAATATGTAAATATTTTAACTATCATGAAAACCTCACAGTAAAATATGTTGTTCCGCGTAAAGTTCCATTATTTTTTCCTTTTGGTTCATCTAAAATTAATCCAATCCATTTTCCAGGAGCAAAACTAGTAACACCAATATACGCAATTTTCCCACGAACTTCTTTACCTGTAACTTCAACACGTTGACCCACCTTTAAGTTCTTGTCTGACATCTTCAAAATTTTTTAATGATGATTCAATTCCCTTTTTTTTCTTCTTTTCGTGAAATATGTTTGTATACAATAACGCTATCTAAATGTACACTTAAAAGTATAATTGTTTATTTTTAATTTCTTCTTGTGCACTTCTTCCAGGACAATAAATATGCCTCTTTAATATTAAAAATCAATATTTTTTAAACAATTCACAAAATTTGTAATTTTCAATTTTCTTTTTCAATCCTTGTTTTTTTTTATGTATTAGCTTGTCAAAATGACACATTTAGTTGACATCATCTAAGACAAACGAACATCTGATTGATGATGTCACTAAAAATTATGTTTAGAGAAAGGTAACAGTTTATGATATAAGAAAAAATTTAATTAGTGTGGGTAAGCAATAAAATCTTTGCAAAAACGAATAAATGTAAGATCAATATACATACTTACATATTATACATATTTTAATTGGAAATTAAACTCAATTTAAATAAAGTATGTCGATAATACTTGGATCCGGGAAGCTTGAAGCACCTTGTTTAGTTCAAAAATTTTTTTAATAAATTATATGTGGAATGTATACCACCAAATGAAATATGTGTTTCAAAATGAGCTTCATTATCGTTACGTTATGTTATATCGACTTACATAAGTTACTCATTTTATAAACTACGCATTTTCTTATTGAACTGCATCCAGTATTAAAGAATTGTAGGGTAAGGTTGAACATTCAGATTGAAAAAAAGATTTTAACAGATACCGTCTTGAATTGAAGTATATCAAATACTATATAAAAAATATTTTCAAAAATATTTGTTTTTAATCTAAAAATTTAAATTACAGTTTTAAATAAAGACAAAAATTATTTTTAGTTCATCATGACAGTTTTATTTAAAAAAGGTATATTGAAATAGGAGAAAAAACGCAATAATTGTGAAACAGAATCAAAGTTAATAACGGAAAACGACAAGGCGGATTTCCGTTATTAATCCAGAACAATAAAACGGCAAAAGGAACTTTTCAGTATTTTGCATATTATTATAATGTAATACACACATGAAAACAGATTATGTCAAAACGGTATAACTCATAGAGAATTATTCTAGTCTATTTATGCGATATTTGTATTTTATATCAATTTTGGTGTTTATAAGCAATACTTTTGTTTACTATTGGATTTTTTTGCCGTAAGAGACCGCTTCTATCATCTTCTTGTTACAATGCGCTACCTAGCGCAAACTCATTGTTTTAAAATAATTTAATTGGTTTTTGTTTACAAGTGTTGCCTGATACAAAGAGGTAATCAGTTGTAGTCTAAATCAAGAAAAGTTTAAAATAGTAGTACCTACAGATAATACAAGTATATTTATGTGTACATAATACATACTAATTAAATAGAAAAAAAAATTCCGTAGTGGTGAAAATATAGAAAAATAAATTGAACACATATTAAGAATACAAATTGGAAACTTTTAGCATTTAAATATTAATTAGAACTAATATAAGAAAACACAAATCGTTTTTATGAAATAAAAAAAAAGGTATATAGAAAAACAAAAAGATACAAAAAAGTAAATTCAACTATAGATATATACATACATATCTATAAACTTATTACATGTACAAAGCTAAAAAGAAAAAATGTGTATACATATATGAATTTATAAAGTCATTAATTTTCTAATTTTCAAAAAAAAAAAAAGTATAAGTTTTAACAAATTTAGAGTTTTATTAATAGACCAATTTTAAATGAAACTTTTTACTTGAAATAATCCGAACCACAAAAAATTATATTACAGTAAGGTCTACGTCGCGCGAAATTTAAAGGGTGAGAATTAAATGGTCATCAGAAAGTTCACAAAACAATTTTGCATACATTTTTTTTAACAATAGAATTTAAGTACCTATACTTATTACACAAATTAGAAATTTTACAATTTGTATTTTAATCAAATTTAAAACAGATTTTGTTTCTAAAGTGTTTTAATAATCATAGCTCAATTAAATAAATGAAAATTTTGCTGTTAAAAATTATATTTCAATATGCCATTAAAAAATCGTTTTAGGTCGTGAAAATACTGCTGAATGCGCAGCAACTCTTGACCAGCAAAAATATATGAAAATAGACCTCTAATAAGAAAATTTACTTTATGAGGTACTAAACTTTATCCCATAAATTTCTTATAAATATATAAATATGTAATGAGCATTTTTAAATTATAATCAATTCATATTTGTACATTTTTGTATTATTTTTTTTTACTTTATTTTTTGTGTAAAAAGCTTTTGTCGTTGAAAATTGATTTAAAATAAAAATAAATATGTATATTCTAGTGAGGTAAAATTGATGTGCATGATATCATAATATGCTTAACTTTAGTTTGTTTTTGGATTATTGTTGAAACATAAATTTTTTCAGCCTATGTTTTTAAATTAATAATTAGTTTAAGAACATTTGAAATAGATCATTTCTGTACCTACCTACTCAAATTTTTATTGGAAGTTTTTGTAATACATTTGTATTTTAAAATACAAAAAATTTGATTAAGTGGATGCCTACGTTAAAAATCTGCAGAAAAAACAAAAGTTATTGGTTTTTAAAACAAAATTTTAACACAAAAAAAATATCCCGTACATCTTTTTAAGTATAAAAATTATATACATACCTATAATTATGTACAGTTTATTATAACTGGTAGGCAAAATTAAAAATGAAATAACTAAGCTGCACTAAAAATTTATATTAAGCTGATAAAATAATTGATATTTCGAAATTTTAAATAAAAATTAAAAAAAAAAAATAAAACAAAAGTGGTCATCAACATATCTACTTAACCTATTTATAAAAATTTCTACACAATTAGGTATATGTGTATACCTACTAATATATCACTTATTTTATATGTAGCTTCATATATACTAACATACGTACATGCATAAATATATAAAGATTTTCATACTTAATTAGCTAAAAATTAATTTTTTTCTTAGTTAATGATGTAGAATTTTAATAATTTATAGATATACAAAGCAATTCTATCAGTATATTCATAAATTATACAAATATTCACATATATGCTGTTATACTTACATACATACATGGAAATAAAAATTTAATTAGAATAACTTAATCAAAAAAGTATGGACATGTACTGTGTTTTAACACTAAATATCCATACATTTGTATTTTATTTATTAGTTAATTTTTTTATTATCACAATATTATATAATATAATGCTAAATATCAACTTTTAAAAAATAAATTTTTTTTTATATCCCTTCAGCGTTTAACAATCTGAGTGATAAAACACAAGCATAAATAAAATGTCTTCATCAAATCAAACTGGTACAGGAACCCAAAGTGGCAGTACGGGCACCACACCATCACAAAATCAAAGCAATACAACACAATCACAGCATCAAACATCACAACAGCGACAAAGTTTAAAATCAACTACAGATCGTGTCATAGACAGTGTTCCTTTTCCACCAAGTCATAAATTGACAGTAGCGGAAGTTTTTGATGCTCGCACTGGTAAACCAAATACTGACGTACTTAAACAGCATTTTATTCTTGAAGGAAGGATTGAAGAAACTCCTGCTTTGAGAATAATACAAGAAGGTGCAGCGCTTCTCAAATCTGAAAAAACTATGATAGATATTGAAGCACCAGTAACCGTTTGTGGCGACATTCACGGGCAATTTTATGACTTAATGAAATTATTTGAAGTCGGAGGTCCGCCTTCATCAACAAAATATTTGTTTTTGGGTGATTATGTGGATCGGGGCTATTTTAGCATTGAGTGCGTTCTTTATTTATGGGCATTAAAATTATGTTATCCAAATACATTGTTCTTGTTACGTGGTAATCATGAATGCCGGCATTTAACTGAATATTTTACTTTCAAACAAGAATGTAAGATCAAGTATTCCGAAAGAGTTTATGATGCATGTATGGAAGCATTTGATTGCTTACCTTTGGCTGCTCTTATGAATCAACAATTTCTGTGCGTTCATGGTGGTCTGTCACCAGAAATACATGAACTAGATGATATTAGAAGGCTTGACAGATTCAAAGAGCCCCCCGCATTTGGACCAATGTGCGATTTGCTATGGTCAGATCCTCTAGAAGATTTTGGAAACGAAAAGAATACAGATTTTTATTCCCACAATTCAGTTCGAGGCTGCTCATACTTTTATAGTTATGCTGCCTGTTGTGATTTCTTACAAAATAATAATTTACTATCGATTATAAGAGCCCATGAGGCGCAGGACGCCGGTTATCGAATGTACAGAAAAAGTCAAACAACAGGATTTCCGTCTTTAATAACAATATTTTCAGCCCCGAACTATTTGGATGTATACAATAACAAAGCTGCTGTACTTAAGTATGAAAATAATGTGATGAATATCAGACAATTTAATTGTTCACCTCATCCATATTGGTTACCGAACTTTATGGATGTGTTTACATGGTCTTTGCCATTTGTCGGTGAAAAGGTAACAGAAATGTTAGTCAATGTATTAAATATCTGTTCTGACGACGAGCTTATGACAGAAGGTGATGATACGTTAGAAGAAGCTAATTTACGTAAAGAAGTTATTCGCAATAAGATTCGAGCTATTGGAAAAATGGCACTTGTATTTTCTGTGTTAAGAGAAGAATCCGAGTCGGTTTTACAATTGAAAGGTCTTACACCTACAGGAGCACTACCATTAGGTGCTCTATCTGGTGGAAAAACTTCTCTAAGAAATGCATTACAAGGGTTTTCACCAAATCACAAAATCGCATCATTTGCTGAAGCAAAAGGCTTAGATGCCATTAACGAAAGGATGCCACCTCGTAAGGACGCACCTCCTACGCCCAGTGATGATCAGAAACCAAATTCAACCGTTTCTGTCAACGATAATCGAAATAATCATACAAATTAAATATTCCCGATTTAGCAAAATTCAACTTAATAAAGAAAAGAAATCGAATATTAAAATCAGCGCAAAACTGGTGGGTTATTTTATCTCTCTTAATTTTTAAGGCCAAATTCGATAAATATAAATTTTAAGTAAAAAAGTCATAATGAAAAATTCTATCTAAAAATGTACGGCTTGAAATTGAATAAAATCAGCATGTAAAACAAACCCAATCACATTTTGTTTTATTTATTTTATAATTTCGATTTATTAACAAGTAAATAAAATAATCGTAGAAAATACAAAAATTAACACTGATACGTAAGTCACAACATATTAAAATATTTAATAGACAATACAGATGTACTTAAATTATCAAAATGTTTTACAAATTAAAAAAATGTATAAAAAATGCATGAAATTTTTAATTATAATAGGTTTAACTTCTATTCTAACGTTTTGTTTATTGACATTCGAAAATATGTTAATTTTTTACGTTTGCTGTTGTTCTACTAATTGTACATAGTTAGCAGGAAAGAGCCCATAACGATTTTTGCAAAGACCGCGCCACCATCCTTCATCAATCTAAAATTAATATAAAATTTTTCAATACCTTAATTAACTTTGTTTCATAATTAATTACCATTTCAATATGTGTGACAACATCATCGGGATCAAACGTGATTTCATCATCAGCTGCTGCTTGATAATCATACAATGCAATCGCTTTTATGCCTGTATCTTCAATGAACGAAGCTAAGTCTTCTTGATTTCCATATATAGGCTCTTCAGGTAAAGTTACATCGTTTTGAGCGACTTCATTCTCTACAACATTTGGATCTGAGAGTTGATTTGATAGTTCTCCTTGACTATACTCAGCCGGTGGTTTTAAGACCTGGTTCGATCCCCAGTCATTTGATTCAGCAACCTCCTCAGTCAAATCAACAATTTCGTTGTCTTTTTTTGTAGGAATTAAATCGGGTTGGACAGAAATTTTCGGTTCATCTTTTGGCAATTGTATCGGTTCCTTTCTTTGAGCTTGTTGAATTTTTTCAATTTCAGGAGATTGAATTTTATTGAATGCATTAATGGCATTTCCAATACTTTCTGCTCTTCCCGTGTCAATAGGTCCGGTTTTCCGATTGATCTCTAATGTTTCCTTTTTACCCACAGTTTCAATATCTTCCCGTTGAGATGCCTGTTCACGGTCAAACTTATCTTTTTCTTCTCTCAGACGCTTCTGTTCTTCAGCTTTTCTCTTAATTTCCTCTTCTGAGCTCTTAGCTAAATTTTCAAACTTAGCACGTAAGTTAGAAGGTTTCGCACCCCCTATATCGGGTTTAACTTTTGTATAGTTAGTACCAATTTTATCTTTTGTCTCTCCAAAACCTACAGCTGACTTATCCATTCTGTCACTTTGAACTCCAAATTTTCCACCAAAACCAACCTTATGATCAACTTGGCTTTCATGTTTTTGGACAGCTTCGTTGTAATCCCAACCAACGGCAGATTTATCTACACGATCACTGTCAACCCCAAATTTTCCTCCAAAACCTTTCGAATAATCCTTTTGGGAATCATGTTTTTCAACTTTCTCTATGTGATCCCAACCAACAGCCGACTTATCAACTCTATCTTTTTGAACACCAAATTTTCCACCAAAACCTTTTGAATAGTCCTTTTGAGAGTCATGTTTTTCAACTTTTTCTATGTGATCCCATCCTACAGCTGATTTATCAACTCTATCTTTCTGTACACCAAATTTGCCACCATATCCAAATTGAACATTAATTTCTTCAGCCTGTTTTTTCTTTTTGTCAGCATCTGCCTTTTCAGTCTCTTCAATTAATTGATGCATATCAATTGCTCCGGCAGTTCGCCCCCCTTTGTTTCCCCATCGTTGTTCTTCTTCGCTCACATCATTTACATAATTTGGATCTGTTTCCCAATCATCATCATCATTATCAGGTTGAATATTAACATTTTTACCGGCGGTTGCTTTCCACATTTTAGATATTATCTATTGAATATCGTTCCAGATTTTTATGGTTGACAATTTTTGCTCATATCTTATCTGATGGAATAGTGAGGAAATGTTTTAACAAATAATTTTTATTTCCTCAATGGCTTTTTTTAATCGATAAATTTATTCTCAAATATAGTCTCCCAAATTTGATTACCCCTTATCCTTACAAATTTTTTATAGCTAATTTACAATTTTTTTCCAATTGGAAAAAATCACAATATTAAATATGACTAAGAGAAAATTACTAATGTTAAATATGTGAAATTGATAACTGACATTTGATAATAATGACATTGAATTCAAAAGGAATACCAATTACCCATACCACAAAATTGTGGTGCCAACTTAAAACACTAAATCAATTTTTATATATTGTAATAGACCATATGTATAAACCATAAACTGTCAATACAAAAAATATTTTCTACTTAAAGTGAAAACAGAACTCATATAGAATACACATATTTAACTGCGAAATTACTACCACGAATTTCAACGCCGGCGCTGAAATACACTTGATTTATATTTTACCGCTGTCGGTTTTTTTGACATTATCTTTTTCAATGCGTGTGTGACATTATATGCAAAATATTGTACTGTTGATTTTGACGTTTCGCTTTCATTCTGAGTTAACAACGAAAATCGCCCGCTTTGCCGCTTTGGTTCTGTTTTTCCAGGTAAATTGATAATCAGGTCACCTGATATTCATCCCATTGTTACATCCTTCTAAAATATTTCAGTGCTAGCTAGATAAACTGTTTTTGTAACAAAATGAATTAATTAAAACAAGGAGAAAAACTAGAACAGATTGAAATTGAGCTCGACAGATTTGTCTTTTCGCTAACTAGATAAACTGTAATTGTAATAAAATGAATTAATTAAAACAAGGAGAAAAACTAGAATAAAACTAGAATAGATTGAAATTGAGCTCGACACATTTGTCTTTTCGCTTAAACGAATATCTGGAACAGAAAATAAATTCTTTATATACATACTTCACTCTGTAGGAGATGCCTGAAAATAAATTGCACTTGAAGAAACAATATGTGAAAATATAATGTGTATTTAAAAGATCACAACAAAGAAAAGGTAAAAAAGGCAATAAAATATATAACGCAACTTATAACCAAGGATGATTTAATCAAAATTATTTGACACGTAATTGATTAAATTTTTGTTTACCGGGAAATGTCAAATTATGCACATAAATGACTGGTGTACTGGAGTCTCGTCATCCAGTATAAAAACAGAAAACGGTCGTGAAGGATGATGCCTGGGAATAAAAATAATTATAAAATTATAAATACAGTTCAGTGTTTCATAATATTCAATTATACAAAAAAAAGAAGAAAGGTAGAAATTGCATTACAAAATTAAAGCAAAAAGATTTCTAATTAAATGTGTGCAAAAAAAATTGTGATCTTGTGAAGTAACAAAAAAGCAGAAAACGCGTTATTGAGAAAGAAAATATACGTATGTATGTACGTATAAAGTTGTTGCAGTGATTAAATGTGTCTGATAATTTAAAAATATGGAGGATTAAAGTAATAATTGATAAACTATAGAAAATAAAAACTAACCAATTTCTGTAAGTATTTTCTTTTAATTACAAATTAATTTTAGAAAAAAAATAAAAGTCTTAAAATGTTTTATTTATTTTTCTATGGTCTGCCACATAGCAAACTGAAAGTTTTTTTTTTACATAAAAGAGAAAAAATGTAGAACGAAATTTTTATAAATGAGTTTAAAATTTTTTATTGAATAGAAATGTAAAAAAAAAGAAAAATATTGAAAGAAAGGGATGGAATAATATGGTGGCAAGCAAATGGCTTGGTTTTTTATAATTTATAAAAAAAATTATTAAGATCTTTTTTTTTCATAAAAAATATTTTTTAAATTAATTTTTATATTTCATTTTTAGATTGAATTACAAAATCTTTTCTGATTTGCTATATTTCAAAATGAATTTGCCTTAGTGAATGCTCTTTCCAACTATGTACATATGTACATATGTATGTGCTATATAAAAATAGTTTTTCAGAACAAAAATAAGAAAGAAAAAAATGAAAGGAAAAAAAAATCGATGTTCTTTACAGTTTTTATTTTCATTGTTATTTTTTCCTTTTTGTTTTAAATCTAACAAATTAAATAATGTTTGTTCGTACAAACATATACCACAATTAGTTTATAATGAAAATATTAAATTAAGTATACAGAAAAGAAGAGTTCTATTAAATAATTATGTTAATAGAATTAAAAAATCAATACAAATCAAAACGTAAAAAATCTTTAATATATTTACATACCTACATATGTATCTACTTATTAAATTCTTATAATTATTATTTTGTTTTTGCAAGGAGACCAGGGAGGTAGATACCTACCTGCTTACAAATTAACCATTAATATACATACTAAATATTTTAACTAAAAGATACCTATACTAAGTAAACAAGAATTTCATTTTTTCTTTTTAGGACACAAAAGTTTTTATTGTTGAAATTGTGAATTGCAATCGTTTATTACAGAAATAGAAAAATTGCTCCAAAACTAAAAATATATTAGTAATTATTTCAGGAGTACGAGTATTTTATTGAGAAAGCTTTTTAAAATGAAGAGAAGAATTTTGTTTGTGTGTTATAAACTGAAAAAGCAATTGCTAAATATCTTACAAATGAATTAATAAAAATATATGGGAACATTTATATTTTTTATATTATATGTTCTACTTATGTATTATGTGTTGTTTTAAAATTTCTCAAATCAGACTAGGTAATATTTTTTTAGGCGTTTTAATTTTAAAATAAATAAGGATAGCAGAAACTAAACAATAGATAGCAATATAAACAAAAAATTTATTAAAATTATGAATTTGAAAAACTATCATTCGACTGTACACAATTTAGTTATAAATATATATTAGTATTAAGTTAAAAACATAGTATTAAGGTACCTACTATTACTAGCGTCTGTTTTACATTGTATTTAGTTAGGTATGTACCTACTATTATTAGCTCCTTAGGTATTATATATACTAAGGTATTTATATTTATGATATATATTAATTATGTATAATAATTATATACATTATAAATATTGTATATAGTTAATAAAAGTCTATTAGAAAGAGCAAATATTTTTCAGAGCTTACAATTACTTTTGATCTAGGAATATTTTCTTTTTGTAAATATAATAACAAATGTATGAATTTTGTTGAAATTTAGTTGAGTAATACGCTGTCTAAAACATGTAATAAAATCTTACATTTTCCAATTCGATTTTAAAAATAAACTTAATTTGATAACAGATCTTATTTTTTCAGGGAAATTTCAAAGATCTACCTTGATTGATCTATTATCTACCTACTTATACCAACATAAATTACTATAATTTCTACAATAGAAATATTAATTTTTACAGTGAAGGAACTTATCAATGTTTTGAATTATTTTAAAATACAATTAAAAATATAATTAAAATATAATTCAATAAGGGTGTATCTATCGGTGTCTTACAAGGCAATTTTAATTAAAAGAATCTTAGTGACTCTTTTTGATAATTAAAAATATCTATAAAAAATTCTATTTAATAAAATATTTTTATTTTTATCTGATTGGATATTAGGATAAAGACACAAGAAAAAAATTACATTTTTTATACACATATAAATATTTTGTTAAGTAGGTAGGTACATATATAGATTTATAATTAAATGTGGAAATTGAAAATAGTCTCTTGGTGTATTATTAATAATCGAATACATAGATTTAATGAAATAGATTAAAAAAAAATGATAAAATGACAATTGATCTTATTGACAGATGTATATTAAAAGCTTTTTGCTTGAACCTACAAATATATATATATATATATATATACGTATGTACATACCTGCATATTCCATGTGTATTAAAATTTCATAAAATGTCACCGCCGGATACGCCACGTTTTTTATTATTACTGATCTTAGCACAATTTAAAAGTCATGTGCACATCAATATAATTAATTGTATTTATAGAATTAGTCACATAAAAGATGTAGGCTTTTGCAATATATGTAAAAGAATGCTACATAAATACATTAAAAAAAATAAGGAAATTATTATTAAGTTAAAAACCCAAAATTAGCTATGCATAATATGAAACTTTTTGAGAGTATCCTTATTTACATATGGATATGTATATAACCGGCTACTTTTAAAAATTTCTTGTATAATCATTCATACATTATAATGTATGCTTTTCCTTTAAGAAAGCCTACATTATGTGTTACTACGTTGGAATTCAAATTCTCTTTCAATACTGATAATGATTTAATTATCCTGTGACAATAATTATATATTGTGATATATTTGTGTTTTAAAATTATTTATGGTTCTTATATTGTATCCTTATAATATTGAAACAAGTATAACTATTTGTAAGATTCATAGTATGAAATAGAAGTTGGCTAGGAATTTAACGATATTGAAAATTTCTGACTGGGCAAATAGTTTAAATAATCAAACCGGAGAAAATGGGTGTTTAACAATTTGATTTTGGGATCTTTGATTAAAACGTTAATCTATAAAAACGATCAAATATTTTATATATGAGCATTTTATTGCAAAATAATTTGAACCTTAAAATAACTTAATATTTTTTTTTATCAGCAGATGTTTGAAATTAATTTAACAATGTACGTCATTCATGAATAATAACGTACGTGACTGTTGAATAAAATTTCTAATTTGAAATAATTTAATTATAATTAATGCTAATTTACTCTATGTAATTATGTTCTTATGTATTATCGTGTAATTATTTACATACATTTTTTTAATTTCTTACATCACCACACTAAATACTGCTAACTTTTTTTTCACAAATTGTACGAATATCATAATAATTGATATTGGTAGATTGGTAAATGAGACCAACATTTGGCAATATTTTGTAGCAATTTTTACAATTTTAAATAAACGTTAAAGAAATAATTTATTAAGAGACATTTTAATTATATGGGTATAAACCCATAAGGTAGGAAATTGGTGTTCTTAAACTAAAATATTATTTTTTTAAGCCGAACGAATATGACTGTGTATATTAATGGCACATAAAGAAGCACATATTTATGTTTTTTTTTTTGGATTTATTTATTAACACAATTCTGTCAATAAATATAAATACAAACATATATATATATATATCTGTTTCCATAGAACAAAAAGAAAAAATTTAATTCTATGAAAAAAATTAAAGTTTTAAGCTTTAAATTTATAAAAAACTTAAATGTTGTTGGTAGAGCGTCCGCCTAGAAAGCGGTAGGTCACTGGTTCGAGTCCAGTTCGAGGAGAAAAATTTTTTTAATGAATTTTTCTGCCTTTAACTCGTTTCTTTGATTACGTCATCCATCTGTTCTGCAGTTGCATGAAGAAATTTCCATTAAGATTAATTAGTAGTGTAATAAGCACATTCTTATTAATTCCGCAACTATAATGTTGTATTAGTAAAATTCATAATTTAAATGTTGTTTTTATTCCACATGGAAAACCCCTTCACACGTTATTAAAATTCACATATACATTTAGTTATACATGTATTTTTATTAATTTGATAATTAGACCTTGCACATCTTTATCACTGTAGAACAAAATTTTGTATAAAAAGGGAATTAATAATTTTTTCAAAATACTATAGGTATAAAATATGTATGTGTTATTAGATATATTTTTTTTAATAAAAATAAAAAACGCTTACATATTTGTTGTAATTCTTCTTGAAATTTTCTTTACTTCCATTTTGTGCAACCTAAAATAACAAGAACCCAAAAAGTAATGCAATGTTTATTGTTTCAAATTTTAATGTAAGTTGAGTATTACAAAAAAGTTTTCTTAATACCTAGTTCCATTACTCTAATCCAGTTTTTAACACTATTTTATCCTTTATGTACCATTTACAGTACATAAAGGAAAAATTGGTATTTAAAATTGGATTTCAAAATTTAAAGTCCTAAAAATACTTTAAAAAGGCAGATGCTTTAATTCAAGGTCCTTGCTTATTAAGTTAATTTTTTTTTACCTAAATTAGAATTATTTTTATATTAGAAATACAAGCAAGAATAAATAGTACTATTCATGTTAATTACGATATTCAACAAACAAATGACACTGATCGTAGTTAAATCATTCCATAACATTTTCTATACACAAATCGTTAAATACAATAAACGATGTTTCTACATCACAAAAGAAATAAGTATCAAATTCAAGATATTAAAAATAACTTATTAATTAGTTTTTATAAAATTAGCTTTACGCCTGTGTACAAAGAACGTGGATGTTATATTTAACAAATTTGATGCTCAACACCGATATTTGTACATTATTTGTATATGCATAAATATAGTTTTGTCTTTAATTTATTTATAATTTAAAAATAATATTTAATAGATCATTGAGTCACAAAAAAATAATAAATAAATTTTTCTTTTTATATATTTTCAGATGAATTAAGGTTCAATTTTTTTTATTTTACGGATTTTTGTGGCTAAAACATCCTTCCATCATGACTTCTAGGTGAGAATGTATTAAATTATTTATTTGTTTATGGCCAGGATATAATACGTATATTAACCCATATATTTTGATATTTACTACTATTTTACTTTCTCTATAATAGTAAATAGAAACGTTTTTTTCTTAATATAATATTTATTTTTCCCGTATATTAACAGGTTAGATCGCTTATTTATATTACTTGAATCTGGGTCATCAGCAGTTACTCGACGAGCCGCCGCTAAACAAATTGGAGAAGTTCAGCATTTGTATCCACATGAACTGCATAATCTTTTAAATCGTTTAATTAATTATTTACATAGTCAAACATGGGAGACTCGAATAGCTGCAGCTCAAGCCATAGAAGCTGTATTAAATAATGTCCCACAATGGGATCCGATGCCATGTAAAATTAAAAATGGTAAACATTTTGTATAAGTATTAAATTTTACAAGTCATTATTTATATAATCTTTTGTAGAAGTTTCTGATAGCAATAATACCGATACAATCTCTACAGAATCATCTAATTTATTATCTTTTAAAAATTTTAATTTATCAGAAGTACTTCAAAAAGGTAAACGTTTAATGGGTTCTGAAGGCTTGGAATTTGACAATTTTGATGATTCTTCTGATTCATCAAATAACTCAAATGATCGTTTAATACGTCAAAGAGCTTTATTAAATGAAAAATTAGGTATTACTCAGGCTAGCAAATTAGGAATAGCAATTAATGAAATGATTAGTGATGAAGATATGAATATTGGTGTTTCTTCTTATAACATAAACGATCAAAAAGTGTGTATCAAGTATTTGAAATAAAATTGTATGTTTTTTGTATTTTGTATGTTTTAGGTTCCAGTACAAGATATTCTCAAAATGAAGTTAGATACAGATACAAATTTTGCTAACAACAATAATCCAAGTGGAAATATGAGTTGTAGAGAAATCAATCGAGCTCGTCGAAAGGCCCGTCAAGGTGTAATCGGTACAAGTTTAAGCCGAAGTAATTCTACAAATTCTAATAACAATGGAAGTAACTCAACTTCGTTAGATGAACCTGAAAGAAAAAAGCCTAAGCTTGATGATAAATTTGAAGTTTTTTATGATTTAAATGGTTAATAATCTTGTTTTAAATTAATTTTTATTGCTTCTTCAATGGTTATTTTCTCATTTTAGAACCAGTTCCTGATGCAACCGGTTCTTGGAATGGATATGCAAATAGTTGGCCTTTAGAACAATTTTGTAAACGTCTTTATTTAGATCTATTTAATCCCCGTTGGGAAATACGGCATGGCTCTGCGACAGCTTTGCGCGAACTTCTAAACTCACATTCAGCTGGAGCTGGTAAAAGTGTATTTATGACTGAAGAAGAGGTAAATAGAAAAATTCAAGATTTTAAAAATCAAATAAAACTTGAACTTATTAAAGATTAATATTACATTAATTGATTTTTTATTGTAGATGGAAACTAATCACAATTATTGGCTCGAAGATGCAACATTACGGCTTCTATGTGTTCTTTCCTTGGATCGTTTTGGTGACTTTGTATCCGATCAAGTGGTTGCTCCCGTACGAGAAACCAGTGCTCAAGTTCTTGGGACCGTTCTTAAGGAGATGCCAAAAGAAAAAGTTCGTGAAGTTGTAACTATTTTATTAGCTCTCACAAAACAAACCGAATGGGAGGTTCGACATGGGGGTCTTCTTGGATTAAAATATTTACTTGTTGTTCGAGAAGATTTACTACCAAGCTTTTTGCCCTTAATTATAAATGACGTTTTGATGGGTTTACTGGATGAAGTTGATGATGTAGGTGCAGTAGCGGCATCAACATTGATACCAGTGGCTTCTTGGCTTCCCAAATTACTAAACGAACAGCAGGTATCAAATATTGTGGAAATGTTATGGAATTTGTTGCTTAATCAAGATGAACTAACATCTGCCTGTAATAGTTTTATGGGATTACTAGCCGCAATATTATCTCTACCAGACGCATCCAATTGGATTAAGTCAGTATCATTTAGACCTTATAATTACTTTTCTTGTTTGATTAATTAATGTTTTGTTTTAGAATGGAGCCATTGTCAATTTTAATACCACGTTTGTGGCCATTCTTAAGCCATAGTACCAGTTCTGTAAGACGTTCTACCTTGCAAACACTTAAAACTTTAACAGATGAAAATCGAATTAGTAACGGTGGGAATATGGAGTTAGAAAGTTTAGACAATAAAAATGAAGCAATAAACAATAATTCTAATTCTATAAATTTGGGTGAAGAAAAACAAAAAATGCTAAATTTCGGAGTAAGCGAATGGAAGGCTCCCTTATTGCAAGAAGCTTTAAGACATATTTACCAAAGAGTTCTTGTTGAACCAAATAAAGATATTCAGGAAATAGCAATATATGTGTGGATGAATTTAATTAAAAACGCTGAGCTTTCTGCCTTATTACATGCGGCATGCCCTTATGTTTCTGCTTGGATTTGTTTAGCTATGCAACCAGCGCGCTTAGCTTTTGATCCTTCTCTTTTAATATTTGCCAATAAGAGTGCACCAGTAAATAATATAGGTCAATTAATGCGAAGCAAAAACCTAAGAGAAGATGATTTAGGAGGATCTTCAAATGTTCAACCAAAATTATTTTTGGGAGGAAATGAGGCTACACCACAAGAAATACGTGAAAAAAATCATGTTCGAGCACGAACTAACGCTGCAAAAATATTAGGTGCCCTTTCTAAATATCTAGTAAAACCTGCCCCAGGTATTGATTATACCAGTGGTGGTGAAAGCCCAATTAATTGTTATACCAAAGTTTTAATGGGCCACTTGGAATCTAGATCTTCTTTACAAAGACTGGTTTGCAGTTTAATTATATCTTTCTGGGCGGAGGAAGATCCACATATTTGTCCTGGACCAATTCAGTTGCAGGAAAAACTTAAATACTGTGTTATGGAATATATTTATTATGATGAAGTAGCTGTAGCATTCACTAGGTAAAAAATTAAGGACTAATAGCGAAAAAAATTATAAAATTTTTGAAAGTTTTTTACACAAATACAGATACCATAAGTATATTACATTATAATCTTTTCAGACTTCTTCAAGAATCCCATGATTTTATAGCAACCCTTAAGCAATATCAAATACCTGTCAATAATCTGGATCAAACGAAAGTATTAACTTTAGATCAAATAAATTCACTTGTTACGACCATGTCAGAAAATATTAAGGGAACATACAATTTAAAACCAAAAATTAGTGATATAATAGAAGAGCGTCGTAAAAGTTTGCAAAATTCGTTAAAGCAAACTAGTGCAGAACAAAATTCTTTAAATTTGAGCACACAAGCAGCTTTAGCTGGAGCAATAGTGTCTCTTAATTGTTTACCAGAAAAACTTAATCCAGTTGTGAAACCACTAATGGAGTCACTAAAACGTGAAGAATGTGAACTTTTGCAACAATTATCATCAATGTTTCTAGTTAAATTATTAGATCAAGTTAGCAGTCGTCTGCCAAGTCCAAATAACAAAATTGTAAACAATTTATGTGCTTTATTGAAAAGCGATCCGGATTATACGCCACAAATCGTAAGTGTCTTTTTTTTTTTCTAGACTATTAATATTTGAAAATTAAGAGAATGTTTTCGGAATTTGTTTCAACATAATTTAATACTTTACAACATAATTTTTTTTAGAAATTTCCTGAGGGGATTGTGTCTGAAAAGTATAATGATGATATTGAAAATCCTTTTTATGGTATTTTATCGCTATCAGCGCAACAGAAAACTGAACAAAATGGTATCATATCTCGTGGACCAGGAAGACCACCTATAAATGTTGATTTGTCACTTTCGGATATTCTTGGAATAGACGAACCCTACAAAAAGTTAAATCGAATTCAACGTATAGGAGCAAAATTCGCTTTGACTGAAATGTGTGAATATTTTGGAGAGACTCTGTTTGCAAAAATTCCTGCTCTTTCAACCATTGTTTTTACTACTATTGACAAGATTTTAGAAACTTCATCCTCGATGGATGAACTTCGAACTAATCCGTTAAATATTAATAAAGAACAAACTGGTGAATTAATGACGTCGCTACAAGTCATAGAGGTTATTTCACCCTATTTACATAAGAATTTGCATGAAAATATTTTTAAGTTATTACCTAAATTAGGAATTTTATTAACGCATCCATTAAAAGCAGTAAGTTCAAGAATCATATTTTGTTTTTTAATTGATGCATTTTCTTAATTTATTAATATTCTGCTGTTACTATTTTAGATAAGAAACATGGTTTCACGCTGCTTCGCAGCCTTTTCTACACTGAATGATTGCAAGTTAATGAATTTTATAATAGATAAAATTATACCTTTGTTAGAAACGGCTGAAAATATAATTTATCGACAAGGTGCAGCCGAAACCATTGATAGAGTCGTTGATAAACTGCAGTTTAAAATGGTTCCATATGTTGTACTTCTAGTCGTTCCATTATTAGGTAAATTTCTAATTTTTATCAAATAAATTTTTTATAAAATTTTCTCAATTGATTAGGTCGTATGAGCGATCTTGATGAATCTGTAAGACTGATGTCAACTCATTGTTTCGCTACATTAATACAATTAATGCCATTAGACAGTAATAAAAATTGTTCATTTTTAAATTCTACTGAGTTGGAAGCTCGAAAAATTCGTGATCGAGAATTTTTAGAATATTTATTTAAACCAAAAACAATTCCAGATTTTAAGGTTCCTGTGTCAATTAATGCTGAATTGCGAAGCTATCAACAAGCAGGCGTCAATTGGTTATGGTTTCTTAATAAATATAATTTACATGGTATTCTATGTGATGATATGGGTCTTGGTAAAACATTGCAGACAATATGCATTTTAGCAGGAGATCATTACGATAGAAAACAAAATAATTTAACAGAATTGCCTAGTATTGTTATTTGTCCACCTACATTAACAGGCCACTGGGTGTATGAAATACAAAAATTTTTACCCTCAAAGTTTCTTAATCCACTCCATTATGTCGGACTGCCAAATGAGAGAGAAAAACTTAGGCCAAAACTGAAAAAACATAATTTAATAGTAGCTTCCTATGATACAATTAGGAAAGATGTAGATTTCTTTTCAAAAATAAATTGGAATTATTGTGTTCTGGATGAAGGACATATAATTAAAAATGGTAAAACAAAAAGTTCTAAAGCAATAAAGCAACTTAAAGCTAACCATAGATTAATATTATCTGGTACCCCAATTCAAAATAATGTGTTAGAATTGTGGTCCTTGTTTGATTTTCTGATGCCTGGATTTTTGGGAACAGAAAAACAGTTTTTAGTCAAGTTTAGTCGACCTATTTTGGCTAGTAGAGATGCGAAAAGTTCTACTAAAGAACAAGAAAGTGGTGTTTTAGCTATGGAAGCTCTACATAGACAAGTGTTACCATTTTTATTAAGAAGAGTCAAAGAAGATGTTCTTAAGGATCTGCCACCAAAAATTACTCAAGACTTAATTTGCGAATTGAGTCCCCTACAAGAACGCCTTTATGAAGATTTTAGCAGAACTCACTTAAACTCAGAAATTAAAGATTGTATTGAGCACTTTAGCGAAACAGAATCCACCGAAAACTTAAACAAAAAGACGCATATATTCCAAGCTTTGCGCTATTTGCAAAATGTGTGCAATCATCCAAAATTAATATTAAATGAACATCATCCGGAATACCAAAAAATTTCAGAAGAATTGGCAAGAAATAAATCCTCTTTGGATGATATTGAACATTCAGCTAAATTACCGGCATTAAAGTAAAATTTTCTATCATTAAATAACTAAAAAAATTTTTTAATAAAATTTATTTTCAGACAACTTTTACTAGATTGTGGTATTGGAATTGAAAATGAAACTGTTAGTCAACATAGAGCTTTAATATTTTGTCAATTAAAAACTATGCTAGATATTGTAGAAAAAGATTTACTCAAAAAACATATGCCCACAGTATCATATTTGAGATTGGACGGCACAGTTCCAGCTTCTTCAAGACATGAAATAGTCACAAAATTTAACGGTGATCCAAGCATCGATGTATTGCTTTTAACAACACAAGTAAGTCATAAATTTAATAAATTTTTCAATACCACGAATTTCATACAATGTTCATTTTGCTTTGAAAGGTGGGAGGATTGGGTCTTAATTTAACTGGTGCTGATACTGTTATATTTGTCGAACATGATTGGAATCCCATGAAAGATTTACAAGCAATGGATCGTGCACATCGAATAGGACAAAAAAAAGTTGTTAACGTGTATAGATTAATTACTAGAAAATCTCTTGAAGAAAAAATTATGGGTTTACAAAAATTCAAAATTCTTACTGCAAATACAATTGTTGGAGCTGATAACGCGTCTTTAGAAACGATGGGCACTGATCAACTTTTAGATTTATTTAATTTACATGACGGGGAAAAACAAGAAAGAAGTACGCAAGCTAGTTCAAGCAACAGCAATGGTAATGGAATTGCTGGAAACAATGCAGTATCCATGAAAACAGTTATAGAAAATTTACCCGATTTATGGGAGGACAGACAATATGAGGAAGAATATGATTTAACACAATTTGTTAAATCACTTAAAAAATAAGCAATGCGTTTTTAATTTTTTTTTTCAACTTTTCCTATTTTTTCTTCTATTTATTTATGATTTTTTGAAAAGCATAACAATAAAAAAACGGAAATGAATTTGTTACTATATGTGTTTTATTTTTTCGTTTAGTTTTGTTTTATTTAATTTAAAGCATTTTATGGGGAATGAATTACATTTATACATAGGTATATTTTTCACCAAATACCTACATATATGCATTTGGTTATATAAGTAATGTAAATGTTACAAATGATCGTAAAACTAAGAAATAATCCCACATGGATAATGGCCAGCATTCAAGTTATCTGTTAATGCTTGTTACAACCTATCCTATTGGAATTATAATCTGAAAGATGTTTGTTTTAAACCAAAAAAATAGTAGAAAAAAAGAGATAATTAGCTTAAATAATTGTATGTCTCTAAATTTCAATTACAGGTTGTATAACAGGCATAAAAATTTATATTTTGTTAAGAAAATTAATCAAGTAACCAAAAGTAAAATTTCATAAATTTCTGGCGAGAAGCAGAGATGCTAACCATAATTTTTACGAATCGAATTCACTATTTTTTATATAAATAGCAACAATTTTTGTAGTTATGCGGTGGATGGAAACAAGCAAACTTATATATTTATCACAAAATGGTATTTACGACCCCACGGCTCCTCTGATCACAAAATAAACTATAACTTATGCTAAATTTATGTAATTCGGACGAATTTTTTCCAATTTAAAAAGGGACCTATCAGTTATATGTAACATCAGAAGTCATTAAAAGATGAAAATTTTCCCCAAGTGTAAGTAGAATCCTTCTTACATAAAAAGGGCGACCATTTTATTTACATAGGTGAAAAATATGTAAAGCTCTCAATCTGGGTTTGCATTTGGAATGATTTATGGGAACTAAAAATGATAATTAACTTAGAAATGATTAAAACTTTACTGTATCATACAATATAATTTAAATATTCTATGAATATTTCTATGATAATTAAACGAAACCCAATATCCAAAGATTAAAATATCCAAAATTATAATTTTATGATTTAGCTGCATATATATACATATATATTTGAAAATTTAGGTACTTATAGCACTTTTTTCGTTTAATTTTATTAATAGGAAAAAATTAATTTGCCAGCCTTATCTGGTCTAGAAACAATAAAAATTTATAATATTCGGTTTAAATTTTAGTGATATCGGTTTCAGCAATAAAATTAGCACTGCGTAAAACTTCCTTAATGCTTACTTACTAATCTTATTTTATGGATCAGAAAAGTAAAGGAAAGGAATGGCCAAGTTGAACCTACACAAAAATCATAAAGATATTTTCGAAGTGATTAGTTTGCAACATTATCCCAACTGTTTCACTTACCTACAAATCCAATATTTAAAATACAAATGGACGAAAATCTTTCTCAAAAAATAGTCGAAAAAAAGACTCAAAAAATAAATTTCTATATGCACGATTTTTTTTTCTTATTTTATTTAAAATGAAAGTATTTAAAAAGACCTCAATCAAACTAAAACACTAAAAATGTGTATCGTGTAATGAAATGAACGGCTGATTCTTCTATTTTTTAGAATTAATATTCCATAGCCACAGTAAGTATAGACAACCCATTTATTATTAAAAAAAAAAATGTAATACATTTCTGTAATGATTATTAATAAGAAGCCAATGTCACCAAGACGTCGCGATAATCTCCGGATAAATCATCCTGAAACAAAAATAAAAATGAATAAGAAAAATTCAATAATATGACAAAATTTATTATGAAAAATGCTTACAATATGTGTTACACTTATAACCATATACGTCTATTTGTATTATTGCAGATTTTAAGTATAACTATAACATTTTGTGCACCTATAGATTCAATAAACATTCAATATTCAAAAATAAAACAACTCATCTTATGTAAGCACAAATTCAAGTTGCCTTTTTTTTTTATTAGTTAACAATTATTCATTTTTAAAGTACAAAATGCACACAAAATATAATGTAAATATCTAACAATTTACAAATAAAAAAAAAATTCACAAATAATTGCACTTACTGTTATCGTACAAGAACAAAAGTAGAATTTAAAAATACAATAAAATTAAAAATAAATTTAAAGTTTGGACAAGCTTGCATGTAATATAATATTTAGATTAATTATAAATGATGGAAATTATTCTCCATGTATTCGAAATTTGGAATTTTAAAACAATCCTATTGAATTGCAATTTACCAAGCTGCAATTTCTGCTAAAACATCTCCAGTATCACCACCAACATCCTCCTGCAAAAATTATAATTTGATGTTTGCTTGAATTATTTATATTTTAGCAATAATTATCATCATTTTATGTAATATGTATGTCCGAAATAATCTTATATTTCGGAATTTCAGAAAATGTATTTTACAGTCAAATAAAATTAATGTGAAATTTTTAATATAATTAACAAGACTGTATATGAAATTTTGTAAATTTCGGGTCGGTAATGGTGTAGCACTATGATTATATTGAATTGATTTTTAAAACATGAAAAAAATTAAAATTAAAAACTTTTTTTAATTATTTTAAATATAATAATATAAAAACATATCCCCATAGTGAAAATTTTTTGCATGAAATTTACAAAAAGGAACGTTATGAATCTGAGAATTTTCTAATAAAAAAAATCGTTTGTTATGAGACAAGGATTGGTACTTGTATATTTTTCTCTATTAATGGCGATTCTTAGAAAAAATTCAAATACTTTTAAGGCGTATAAGAATGAAAATAAAAATCTTCAAAAAAAAATCTTGAATTTTATTTATTGCAAGTCTAAAATTTCATTTATTCTGCTTTATACTACCAAATAATAATCTTATTAATAAAGTAGGAAAATAAGCCAAAGCCTATAATTTAATTAAGGTTGCTAATTTAAAATTAATAAATCGTGAAAGAGCAATCTTTATCAAAATCGGGTCAATCAAAATAAAAATATGTACAAAAATAGAACCATAGATAAGTTTATTTTGCAGATCAAAGTAAAAGAGATTATTATTAAAGCAATATTGCAAAAAAATAACTGTGTAACGCAATGTTACACAGTTATGAACATGAACAAACTAGGTTAGCAACATAATATAAATTGTCTATGAACATAAATACAACGCAGCTTTTGCTACATATCGCGATAAACTGAGTCTAAGACCTAAAATACTAACAGAAATTTAATATATGTACATAGGGAGATTTTTGATAATTCAGATATCCACATACAATTCTAACTGAAATCTTAAAAATCTTTGTTTGCATCATTGCACAGATTTACAAAAACTAACTAGTTTAATTTTTTAAAATTTTTAATATTTTAAATTTTTCAATGTGATATTTTTCAAATTTAATCTTTTTTTGTACCATTTAAAAAAATCTGTAAAAAATACTTTACAACTTTAAGTATACTACAAATGTGCTGCTTTTGTAGTAAAGATTTATCGAACATACTACATTTGAAGATTTTGCATTTTTGACTTATTGAACATGCTTTACACTAAGATCTAAGTTAAATCTGAATTTTTTGAAAATTCCTTTAGTTTATAAGATGGTTAAATAATGTATTAGTGTTGTTGATTTTTGAATACATACTAACTAATATATAATTTGCAACTAATATATAATTTATTACAGGCTCTTTTTAGCTTCTTTATTATTATAATTATTTAGGAATAAATATATTAATTGAATCAAATTAAAACAATTACAATATAATGTTAAAACTCTTTATTTTTGCGCAAAACACAAACATTAAAAAGCTCAAAATGTTAATAATATATAAAAAAAATATTTTTGTAATAAAACATAAAAGAAAAACGAATACATATAGTGAGTACTATAATTAATAAATATAGAATTTATAAAAAAATAATAATAAGAACAATTTTTATATAATTGAATATTTAATAAAAATGTTCACATATATATTCTATAATCTTAAAAACTATATTTGAAATATCTTAATTTCTAAGAACAATAATAATGTAATTGACATTTATAATATTTCAAAATTAATTGTAGTTACATAAAATTAGAAAAAAATTCAAAATTAACACGTGGAAGGACATGAAAAAGAATATTGCCACAACCAAATAATTTTCAATTACATATAAATGCTATAATGAACAACGTTAACGTTTAATTATCAAAAATATTATACATTCGTTCAATCATTCGTTTAAATTCACTGGTACGGTAGCATAAAGAGTTTTATAAAAATATTTTTAATTGGTAAAATCTAATTATGATTAGTATTTTCCTGGACAGGTGTATACAAATCTTTAATATAATATTATAATATGACCATATTCAAAAGAATATGTGAAGTTTTACTTTAATATTAAGCTGATAACGTGATAGTGCTAAACACTACACTACTATGAACTAAAAAATTAGGTCATGCTTTGGAATTTTTATTTTTAATATTGCAATTATAAGTACATAATAAATTTTCTCAAAATTCCGAAAGAATTTGAGAATTTCAGATTTGTAGATGTGAAACTAATAAAAAATTTGGGAAATCCAGGGATTAATCAAATTTACTGTATGTTCATGTATTTATACAAACAGTGTTTTTAAATTCTTCTTCATTTTGCAATAAAACGTGTTGAACTTTTAAACGAACGATTGAATTTTGTTATTTTATTTTGTGTCTAATAAATTATATTTAATTTTTTTTTTTATTTTAGAAAAAAAAATCTGTACCATTTAGTTTTATTAAAATATTAATGAATAATAATTAAAAATTAAGTTTAATTTTAAATATTTTGAATTTTGTTGTTCTTTTTCTTTGTACTGGAATAAACACACTTTTTACAAGTTTTGGAAGTTTCATTTCAGACTCTCGGATGTTGGAAGATACATTAATTTTTATTTTTGATGCATATAAATGTGTTTGAAGATGCACATACGTACGCATGCAATTATTATTTTGAAATGTATATTTACCAAGCCACAATAGTAGCTAATAAATAGCCATTTTTGGTATTCAAATCACTCTGTAAATATAATTTATGTATATGTATGTATGTATATTGTTCAAAAGGAATAATTTTTATTATTTTGTATTTTTTAACGTTATATGTTGTTAAATTTTTATTTGAAATGGTTTATGTGGGTATGTGACTGAAAGAAAGTTTGAATAAATATTTGGACTATATTTTCTCAAGTCAAAAATTATGAGCGCAACTACATAATTTTTATTTATTTTTATAAAAAAAAAATTTATATTTAACTTGATTGACTATAATAATTTAGAAATAGTATTTTCAAATGTTTCACTTTTATATTAAAATATTTGTAAAACACCCACAACGTATCTCTTTACTTATATTTAGTTTTAAAATGCTCACCGATCTTGGCAACTTGCACGCAATTTAAAATATCGAAAATATTTTACACAAAAATTCATGCTTATTTCTGCTCTACGTATTAATTACCATACTAGTAACTAGGGCCATGTCTAAATAATATTTTTTAGTTATGTTTTCTTATATACTTAATTTGAAAATTTTAAATAAAATGACATTACACAGTAGGGCCAAAGCTTCTTGTAAATAATAAAATATTATTGAATTTAATTGCGTTTGAAAGAAATTGAAGTAACAGCAGAATAACTTTTTGTCAGTCACACACAATCAACAAAATTTTAATGTAATGCTTTTAAACTGATAACGAGTGCAATAATAATGTTATATGAATGCTTTATGTTTAATGAAATTATATATTAATTTTAATATAAAAAAAGATTTGATATTTTAATGAAAAAATTCAGAATAAAATAGTATAAGTATGAATGAAGCAAATGTAGGAAATTAAAACGTTTTAATTTTAAATAGACAATTTGTAAATTTTTATAAGTGAGTAAAGTTCATTATAAAGGTTCTCTTAAATTGTTTATGTTTTTATTTTTAATACCTAATAATACTCGTACCTTAAACTTAATCCTATCTTTTAATTTCAAATAAAATTGAGTGAAAATATTAGTAAATTTTTCAAAGCTGTTTCATTTTACCCAATAACAGCATGATGTTTCTCCGATAAGGTAAACCAATGGTTAGAGAAAAGCGTTTTATTTTACTTTATTTACAATGAAATCACAACGAATTGTGCAATTCATAGAACATAGTTAAGTCAGCAATGCAAAAACAGAAATATTTAATAAAAAGAAATTACTCTAGATAGTATTCAAAAATTTATATAAAAATATTATGCTTCCAAATTCAATCAATATTATAATGCTCCCAATAATAATAGGAATTATTGTATGTATTTGAAATTTTGTCAAATTTATAATGAAATTAACTGAATATTTTTAGATATTGTAGAATATATTACAATAATATTAATATTTTGTAAATAGTTTAAATAATTTATTCATAAAATTATCTTTAAAAATAAAAATTTAAGGTTAAATAGATAAATTTAGAAATATGATATGCATTTAAAAAAGAAATAATATGTTAAGATAAAATTTGTAAAGAACAGAAATAAAAAAATAAAAATTATTAAATGTAATGAAAAAGATCTTCTAAAACTAGAAGTAATAATGAAAATGTTATAGAAAATAATATATTTAATTAATCGTAATACATATAAAAAATAATTTTGAAAATTTACCTCAGCTGTATAGGAAAAAACGCAACTACATGAACTTGAAATTTGGTTATTAAATATTATATAGATTGAAGCTACTTTTAACTGGTAACAAATAATACAGGTTATTAAAAAAAATAAGTATTAACATTTCGACTTTGTTGATTATCATAATTATTAACAAATATTTATAAATACTTTGAAATTAAATAATTTATTTTTTTTTTTTGTTGTAAATTTAATTTTTTTGTTGAATAAATTTTCATTGTTTTAGGAAAAATTTACCAAGCTACAACTGTAGCTAGTAAATATCCATTTTCAGTTTCGCAGTCCTCCTGTAATAATAGAATTTGAAAGAAATGATAAAATGTGAAAAGTGTTGTTTTTTTTTATAAACAGAAAATGTGATCTATAACTTCTGAATTTTTTTAAAAAAATTTATTTGAAAATATATAAGAAAATATTTGTGATTATTTTTTATTTAATTATTTAAGATCATGCATAAATGAATTCATAAGTTTTATTTTCCAATTGTCTTTGAGCACATCAAAAAATGCATAATAGAAGTGTATTTAAACAGTTAAATTCCATATAAGTATATACGAGTATTATATATTAATTTGCTAGAAATGTTTACATATTATTTGTACAAATATTATTTCTAATTAATATAATAATTCTATTTGAATTATAATTACATTTAAGTGGATAAAAAATAATATTAAACTCCTGCTGAAAAATTTATTTGTTATTCTTATTTTTTCATTATAACTTTACAATATTCATACATTAAGGGTGCCATTCATGTATGTGTATTAGAGTGAATACAAATAGTTAATTTGATTTTAAGTTTCAAAATTTTGGTTGCACAATACTTAAAATTATTTCGTTAAATTGATAGTATGTGCTAGAAATACATTGCACTATAATGCAGTATAAATACTTTATAGTGCATAAGTAATTAATGACGGTGTACGTATACAAACGTGACAACATTAGTCATATTATTACAACAGGAGCTTATATTCATTACTTTTTTATATTTAATTGTAAAGAAACAATTAAATTGTAAGATGAATGCATTATGTACAATGAGAAATAAAAACAATAAACAAATGTGAAGTAAAAAGATTAATTCGAAAGAAAATTACTTATTAATTATTTATTATTTTAGACATAATGGCTAAAAAATGTAATCTATAGTTATTATTTGTAAATATGTAAAAAAAAATGAAAAAAAAAAACTATAAACAAAAAAACTGAATCACTGTACATATAAAACTTTTCTGTATGGTGCATTTACAACAAACTAGAGTCATAATATTATTATTAAATACATAAACATGGAGAATTTTCAATCATTCATCGTAATATTATAAAACATAAAAGAAATATCTGTTTCAATGTTGGTAACACAAATTTAACATATACATTACCACATTACAATCTGTAAATTAACTCATTTGTTCCTTCTTCTTATTATATTTTATATTTTTCACATATATGTACACATTATAATAAATAAAGACAAAGCATAAAATTAATATGATATAAAAATTAAAAATTTCCAATTGATCCCTGTAGTAAGGCTACACACAATATATGACGTGAAATTAAAAAAAAATTATTATTTTCATTAATTAACTTTATTGAAATTGAAATGAAAACAATATTATATGAAAATAAAAATAGGTAAATAGTATAGATTAATAAGTATGTAAAAGATTAGGTTTATGCTAATCATTTTGTTATAATCTAAACATTCTTATTATAGATAATTTTTCATAAATTGAAAAAAACTACATTCTTTAACACTAACATTTTTGTTTTTTTTTTTTTTTACTAAGCGACATTCAAAATTTAAAGCAACAACAGTAATAAGAATATCCAAAAATTTTATAAAAAATATTATGTATGTATATATGTAAAATATTTATGGCTTCCTAATATACATATATGTAAGTATTGTATATGTATAATGTAAATTTAAATAAGTTTTAATAATTTTTTATGTAGAAAAAATCTAAAATTTTTAATATTTAAGCAATTTTACTTGCTTCTACAGTAAATTTATTTGAGCTAGAAAAATTTCAATTTTTAAAACGTAAATTTCATTAAAAAATTTTACTCTATTTGTTTTGCAAAAATTTCTAAAATTTATTTGAGACTATTGACATTATTAATAACTATTTAATTTGTAATTTGTTGCAATATTTTAAAAAACACAACTGGGTAATATTCAATATATCATACTGCAAATACTGTAGTAAATTTTATTTTTAATTTTTTCACAATTCTTTATAATTAAGTGTGTACTTAATGCAAAATATATTTTGAACATTTTATTGCAATATTACAAGAATATAAAATAATAATTACAAATTTATCGTTTTACCAAATACACATATTTTAAAATATTAAGAACACTTAGGCCACTGCATTTTTTTCTGTAAAATTTATAACAAATCTACATAATATAATTTTTTAATTTGATTTTTTAAGTTTAACAGATTAATTAGATGACATTAACATTAATGAATTTATAATAAACTTTGAGATACTAAAAAAAAATATAAGTCTCATTGTAATAATAAGTTAATTTTATACATTATTTTTGGAGATTCATAATTTAAAAAAAAATATATTTTTAAACCTAGATTTCTGTTCTCTTAAGGCAACTATTATGGATGTATATGAGAAATTTATGGAACAATAATATATAATGGTCTTATTATTCAGTCAGTTGTTTCTAAAACACGAATTCCTATTTGTATTACTATGTGAGATGGACGTGTTTAGTATAATCCTGGCAAAAAATATTGTTTCATTCGTTTTCAGATTTTAAGTTTGATTTCTTTTTGTACTTTTATTGTTTTTAATATCCAACAATAGCCAATAGAGCGCGTTTGTAATCTCCGGAGGTATCACCCTGCAAACAAAAATAATTTGATTTTGATATCGTATTTTTTTTTCTCTTTAATTAAAAAAAAAAAGATAAGGGTTTTAATTTTTTTTTTTTTATTTTTTGAAAAAGTTACAGAAACAAAAACAAAAATACATTTTGTATTAAAACAAAATTATAATAGGGTTATTAATGTAATCCAATCAAACATTTAAATTTTAAGTCGGATTTTATCTATTATAACAATAAAAGCTATTTTTTGAAACAACCTTTCAAAGTTTTTAACCTCCCCAATAATTAAAAAATTTATCTAAAAAATATCTAAATATGACTTAGCCATATAATATGTGTAAACCAAAGCCCGTACATATCGAAATATGTATAAAGGGATAAGCAAAACAAAGGGGACCAAAAACCTTTAAAATTCTGAAATATTTTCTTTAGCAAATTAATAAATTATATAAGTAATTTGTTATAAAATTTTACAGAATTATCATTTTTGTGTAGTGTCTTAATTTGTGTCTCACTCACTTAAAAAAAGAGAATTATAAATGTAAAAAACATAAAAGTAAATATTTACCAAACCCAATTTATTTTAAGCAATTAATTATTAAATTCATAATTTTTTCCAAGTAATATATCACTTTTTCTTCACTTTTTACACTTTAAACGTTTTAAATATGTGAGAAAAAGGTAAAAATTTACTAACTGAATTGCATTGAGACGTGAATGTTTTATTTTTACACTTTCTAACTTTTAGTGCTTTTATATTTTAAAAGAATTAAACGAAAAATGTAAGAGTTACATTTCCGAAATAAATTAATGTGTAAAAGAAAAATATAAAATAAATAAAATTTTATCTTTGACTTAAGGAATTTCTGATTTTCCAGGTTTTTATAGTGACCAAAATAAAGTTTAACAAACTAAGTAAGCATAAATCCTTTACTTACTAGTTACTAACATATTTATCCTATTTAATATTAGTTACAAAATATTAAAACAAAATTATATTATAAAATGTGCAATTGGATTAGTCTAGCTAGGCATCAACGCTTTTAAATTTCAAATTATATTTATAATTCTAAAATGATCAAAATATCACGATATTTTACGATCACGATCAAAATATCACGAATTTTGAAAAAATAAAAAAAAGAAAGAAATAATTCAACCGAATAATTTCAATACAACAAAATCACAATTTCTACAGCTATTTAACAAAAATAATACCGTTAAACTCCTGAAATACTGAAATTTCCTATACAAATTTAATATTGATTCGTTAAAATTATATGAATTTTTCTTTAAAAATTTTATTTTATTTTAAAGATTTTAATTAATTTATTAAATAGGAATTTTCAATTACGCTGTAATGATTAAATTAAATTTGAGCTATAAACTAAAGAATATGTACATATATTTGAATTTATATATTAATATACATATTAAGTAAAGTAATAATGGGTTAAATTTGTTTAACTTTGGCAAAATTGGTTAACAGAATAGTGATAAATTAAAAATTATTGCAAATTTTGTTAGTTGGAAAGTAGACCCACTTCCAAATACGTAGAAAAAATTATATATGTAAATTATTTTGAAAAAACACATAAAGCACATAAAAGCCCTATATACATATATGTATATATACACATATATATTTATATATATATATATATATATATATTTATATATATATATATATATATATTTATATATATATTTATATATATATATATATATATATATATATATATATATATATATATACACGTATACATAATTTTGTTTATGTAACTTTTCAATCAATGACATATAGGTGCACAAAATGATGTTTCGTAAAGCATGTATGAAAGTTTTAATATTTTCAATTTTTTCTGTTTTAAATTTTTCGTAATTAAATTAATAAAAATGAAAGAAGTTACGAATTTTTTTAATCCTAAAAGCATTTAGCATTTAAATTTCATAGTTTTAAGTTTAGAATAAATTTCTCTCAATTTGAATTTCAATATATGTACATACATATTCACAATTGTTTTCATTTTTAGTTTAAAACTTTCATACTTTTTTTGTATAAATATTTATTTTATTTTACAAAATATAAAAAAGTAATCTTACCTTAATCCATGATTCCAAACTCTTTCCGTATTTATTTTGGAATGCTTCCTTAATATCACCCAAATCGATTTCCGATCTGCTAACAACGATACGAATTAAAGTTTTATCTTTAGTACCCAATCCAGCCATTGAATCGTGTAAACGTTCAGCGAAGTAATCAACTTTTGATTTACAGCATTTAACTAAAAATTAAATTAAATTTTAATTATATTAATTTTTAATGAGGTTTTTTTTTCTAATAATAGATAAGTAAATATTAATTAAATACCAATAGCTAAGAAGCCTTGTTCAACTGCACCACTAAATTCTCTTTTAATTGCTTTTTCAATATCGTGTCCAGCAATATTTTCATATTCCAAGAAAATTTGACGTAATTGTTGATAGGAACGTGTTATTAAAATTGAATTGAATACTGATTCTTCTGTACCCCATTGTCCTTCTCCAGCATCAAATAATGCTTGGGCATCAGCAACAGCAGCTGCTTCATCAACACCTTGATTTTCATCACGATTACCTTGCACTAATGATACACATAATCTTTTAAAATGACCACTTGTGTCACCTTTTAAATCTTTTTCTAAACTTTTATTATACATTTGTTCATAGAATTGTGCAATTGTTTTGATACCATAATTAGATAATGTACATAAAATTTCAATTATTGCTTCTTCATCTGTACCAATACCAGCAACAGCATCATGTAATTCTTTTGCATAAAATTGTGGTAATGGTGTCATCAAAGCCAATATAACATCTTCAAATTTTCCACCTAATTCTGATTTTAAATCAGATATTAAATCTTTACCAAATGATGTTTTAAATGCTTCAGCAATTTCAAGACGTTGTACAATACCACGACGTGCTAAAACTTCAATAATAGCTTTTTCATCGGTACCAAAACCTTTCATAGCTTTACGAAGAGTTGCTGCATCTTCTTGTGGATCGAATGGATCAGCTGGGTAAACAGTTGGTGTACACTATACGAAAAAAAAAAAAAAAAAACAAAATATTAATGAAATTTCTTATTAATTATTGTGATGAAGTTAGGTAAAGTAAATTTTGACAAACAAAACATATAAAGAAGAAAAATCATTAATACTAATATTTGACGAAAATATCAATAACAGTTTAATATATGAAGATACGAGTATAATAATTATAGTGTTCATTAAAAAATCCTACCTGAAATTTAATCAAAATCATTTTACTAAATGTTCCCTAAATTTTAAGTTTCTTTTTGAAATTACACAGTCAAGATATCACGTAATTATGATGGATTGTCTCTTGACATTTTATCGTAACTTTAATAATATTTGATTTTAAATGTAGAAAGCAAGACATACATATAAGAAATGATTCATTAAAATTTTTTTAGGAACTTCATTTTTTTTCTGTGAACTCGTCAGCAATGTTAAAAATATTAAAGAACTCGTAAAAGACAGTTTAATTGAAATTAAAGAAATATTTAAGAATTTGAAAGTTTCGTGAATCCTAACTATTTAATTAATATTCACAACAATGGGCAAACACTTAAACATTTGTAAATGAAGTTTATCAATTTGCTTACAGTCGTTTGTAATTTCCCTTGACGGTGATTGCAGTAATTTCATTTGTTTCATGTTTTCTTTAGTAACAAGTAACTAATTATAAAATTAAATGGGAATTTTTCGCATGGAACAATGATTATTTTATAAAATATTGATTACATAATTTTTAAGTGTTAAAAAATGTTTCATATTTGTTATAAAAATTCAAGTTATTATCGCTTTTTGTCGCAATTCCACCTATATATATATATTTATATTCGATAATATGTATATTAAAGTTATTTATTGAACTTTAGTAAAATAATATAACAGTTCATTCTATGTGTCACACTCTTTATACTCATACAATTAAAATTATTTTTTCTATATGGCCTGACTGAACTGAGTTCTGAACAATTTTTCTATATAGGTAGACATAGGTATACAAAGCTAACTTTTTTTTTTATATTGAACATAATAAAATTTTTATTTTTTAGGTTTGAGAATTTAACTTTTTTTATTACTTATTTATATATATATATGTAGGTATGTATTGGAAGTGAATATGAATAGAAGGTGTTTTAAAAAAAAGCTTTAAAATGACATCATCTTAAAATATTTTTCATCTTTTCTTTTCACAAATTATAATTTAAATATAATAGAATTTTTTAAAATGGTTATTCAATTGAAAAGGCACAACAAATTTATAACAACAAAACTATTTAATATTAAAAAAGAAAAAATATTTATAAATATAAGAAAATTGAGGTTTAATACGCACAGGTATTTACATTTAAATTGGAATAAAGAATAAAAAAATTATTATTAAAAACAAACTTAAAGCATAACAGGCACAATTTATCATTTATTTCATTATTTTTTTATTTAATGTGTTTAGTTTAAGTGTCTGGAACCTTGACTACAACTATGAAAATTAAATATTAAAAGTAGGGGTTAAAAATACAGGTTGTTAAAGTTGTTATTATAAAAACTTTAAAAAATTTGTTTCACTCTCAAAATTTTTTACTAAAGAAAATTCTAATGCATTTTATATTTGAAATTAAAATTAAATTTTTCATTTGTTATCCATTGATTATTATTACTGGTCTATAACAAAATACTTAAGTTAATATCAAGTTCCAGACAATTTATTTTCGAAAATAGAAAGATACAAAAATTTATTTCAATTTTAACATATATAAAATTCGTTCGTCTGTAGACAACTGAATGAAAAGAATAAATAAGGTATTCTTGCACAGGCATCTAGGCATTTACCTAGATACCTGTCCAAGAATACTAGTCATATTTTTTAAAAATGATCTTATAGGCATACCTTATATACATTTAATATAAAATTTTTTGATAGTTCACTAATAATATGTTGATATACCAGTTTCTAATATGTTGAGTGTAAATAAATTTACTTCCATTATTATAAAATACTAAAAAAGATTTTTATATTAGAGTTATGAACAAGATTTTAATTACAAATTTCCGTATAAAATTTCCGAGTTGTGTGATACTATAATTTATTTGTTACATCATGCGTGTAAGCATGTGGTAGTTTCAAAGTATTATTAATATAATTTTCGAAAATACATACGTGTTAATTTAAATCTTAAAACAATTAATTAGCGAAAATATATACCTAAATATTTTTAAGTTATTTTTTACACTGAGGAAAAAAAAAAATTATTAAAAATTGGTTTGATTTTCTATGTTTTGAGACAAAGATGTGTTCACAACTGAATTCACAGTGTCAATTGACAAATTGTCAAAATGTACCAGAAAGTATTTATGAACTTTGGCATTGTACTCAAAGATGATTAGTATGCAATTCCAGTATAAATAATATCGCAAACCTTGTCAAGGAACTTATAATTGAATTACTTAAAATCCTGAAAAGGTTTACGGACTAATTATTAGTGTACAAGCTGTTTTTTTAATATTGATTGTTACTTTTATGTTTGTTTGCTTTTAAAAAAATTTTCATTTAAGTTTTGCAAATGCGAAATTAAGAAGAATTATTTTCTAAATAACATAAAAAAAAATAATTCAATTTGGAATAAAAATTATCAAAAAAAAAAATGATAATAAATTTAAATTTTTAAATTGTTGTTACACTTTTGCTATTAAGTGTAAATATATTAAAAGTATGGTCATGATGATTTTGTATGTATACTAAAAAAAGGAAATGAAATTCATTCAGAGTTAAATAAAAATAAATTATATAGTTATTCAACACTATTCATAAAATATATTTGAAATTCTTTTTTGAAGAGCTTTACCATTTCATTTCTGTTAGACAATTAAAATTTATTAAAATTTTTAATACAAAAATTGAAAAACTTTTAATAAATTATTGAAAATAACAAAGCTAACCACAAATTTTATAGAAACCTTCCAATTCCCTATTAAAAGTTAATAGCCTTACTTAAAATTTTGTTTTTTTTGTTCATATTCTGTTCATTTGAATTTTTCTGATTTTTTATTTTGGACTAATGCCAACTAAAATAAATGTTTACACTATTTTCATGTATCCCAGAACACCATAAAAAAAAATAAAAACAATAAATTGAAACTTTATCTTATTTTTTCATTTATATTTTTAGACATTATATAGTCTTAATCATGCACTCATGAATATAAATTTTGTTTTTACACTAAATTTCCTTTTATTTTAATAGTTTCTTCTTTCTAAATTCTCGGAATAAAAAATATATAACTAAAAGTGAAAAATTTATCTTTGATTTAATGAAATTTTTGAAAATATTTTTATATCTCAAGTGGCTTAAACTGGAAGTTTATGACACGCGAAGAAAAAGTACATATATAATTATAGACCTAAAATATTTGAACTTGCATATTTACAGTTATTAACTGAAAGTATACTTCTTCTCTCGCTATCATTTTAAATTTTGCTTGACCTTGAAAATTATAAACCATAAATTCAAAATCATTAAATTTTTTGTTTGGAGGTTAATAATTTTTAAACTAAGAAATAAATGAAGTATTCTATATGATACAGTTTAGTCAATAATCTTGAATCTAATGTAAATCGTGTATTTTGAAATAAGTATTTTATTGAAATTACTCGTATAATAAAATCACTATTATAATTTTTTTTTTTCAAATTCCCTTTTAAAAATTAAAATTTTTATTCAACGTTCTAATGCAGATCCTATTGTTTTCCAAAGATTTATATTTCCTATGAAGGTTATAAAAGGGAGCTTTAATTTATTTTCTATTTCATACTTACTTTGAATGGATAATATTCAGCGGAACTCATTTTTAATGATTTTTAATTTGTTGCAAACTGTAAGAAAAAAAGACAATATGCAAACATTAATTTTGATAAAAATTTTAAAAGTATAAATTAAAATATTATAATGTATATACGAATGTTTTTAAAATTATTACATAAAAATAATTGGGCTGCTAACTGCTATTAATTGAGTTACAAATTTTCTCTCATTATTTGCAATGCAATGCAAGTATGAAGAACTTTTTCATAATATGAAATGGGAGAAATAAATAGAACTCTTTGTCTTATTATGTGTATATGTATACTTAATAAAATTTGTTCTTTTATATAATGTTATTATTTACACTATTTACGGTATAAATTAAAAACTATACAGTTATAAGTTATAATAAAATTAATAAAATTATGATGTTTGTATTTCATTATTTAAAAAAAAAAATTGTTCCAATTTAATGATTTTATATCATCATGTATATGGTGGAAAGTACCTATAGCAAATTGTTCGAATAAATTTAAGAATTTTTCTAAAATTTTACATATGTTATTCTTATGAACTTTGTCAACTATCTGTACAAAATATTATTATTCTAATTACGTTAATGTTTTTATTAAAAATAATTTCAAGCTACATTTTCACTAACAACAGGGATTTTTTGCATTTAGTTTGGACATTCAAACAAAATTTTCTAATACAGAATTTGTTACGACGATAAAGGCATTGCAAATTTCTCGTATATTAACCTTTAAAATGCGCTTTTTTTTAATCTCATACGAAATATTTGCGAGACACAAATGTACTTTGGCAAGTATGTACATATGTACTTTTATATTTATGTTTATATACATATTTTAAATTTTTATATTATGAATATGTATGTAAGTTTAAAAAAAAAACACGTTTCTTGTGATATGTTAAGTGTACAAACGAGATCAAAAAGAAACATTAACTTTCTCTCATAAAATAAAACGAGTTCATGTATTTTATACGATTTGGCTATGATAGTAGTTAAAGTTTTTTTCAAAAAAAATTTAAAAAGAAATTATTAATAAATAAACCAGTTAAGAAAATCAAAAATCAATAAAATAAACGCAAATTAAAGAACTTTAATCAACAATTGTTGATTGCTAAAAAAATTTATAAAATTTAGTACTTGATATTTCAAAATTCTAATTTTAAAGTAAAAATAAAGCCTCGAAAATGTTTCTAACCCAGTAATTTGAAATTTTTTAAACAGACCTAAACCTTTCTTTTTTTGCAGAGAACCAAGGCTCTGTAGTCTTTCTGGCCTCGATCAATAAGATTGTTACATAAGCACTATTTCTTGGTTCCGGACGAATCTCAGTATTACGTCAGCTGGAAGTTTTGACACCTCCGAAGGAGTCCCATGAGCAAACCCATATACTTAAATGTAACAAAAGAAAAAAAAAACTTTCAACTAATTTAAAAAAAATTACTAAATTGCATCTATTTAACATTTAAAGATAAACTTTAAGAAAATAAACGTTCATAATTGCTAATTATCAATTACTTTTTTTAAAATTGTCATAATCAAATCGTCATAAAGTCAATATGTAATTCAAATTTTAGAGTAAATAACCTTAATAAAATTAACAATGCATAAATTACATATATGAGTATATAAACTTGGTTATTATAATTTTCAAGGCTTTTGTAACAGAAATACACAATATATAATTGAATTGAAGCTTCAATTTTTAATCTTTGATGAATCAATCATACAAATAAAGAAAAAAGTTTTCAAAAATACCTTTTTATCATTGGCTACAGGCCAGCGTCATCTACTTGAGTGTAAATTGAATACATACGTATACGCTACATATCTAATTCTCTTACAATTTCGATGACTGTACATTATAATATGGCTTGACTAAGAGACTACTAAAATGATTCATCTTATAAGATTGACTAATTTAAGTTCATTTAATACATCATAATTTCAGCCTTATCATACATTACTTTAAGTATAAATTAATTTAGATTTACCTAATTTAGATTTAAATAGAAATTGACTCAAAGAATTATATTTAGACCGCTGCTGTTGATAATGACGTAACAATTACGAATTATAACGAAATATAAGAATTTTAAATGAGATTGATTTTGTAATAATTTAAATAAGCAAAAATATGAAGCTCATTTGCTGCATACTCGTAACAGTGACGTAACTCAAAAAACATTATTTCTGATATATTTATACAAAGTTAAGAGCTTAAAACATTTCTTTTTTGTGCAAAAACACCAATTTATTAGCTTGAAAACTGTCGCTTATAATAAATTATATAATAATGCTACAACGACAAGAACATAATATGTATACACTAAAAAACATTAAAATTAGATTTTCTCAAATGTGCAAATTTTGAGTTATGTCAATGTTGTTTGTAGTAAGTAAACGATGTTGTTATGTACTATGTATGATGAAGGTATTATGTATAAAAATCTGCTTTATAAAAAAGTTTTAAGAAATAAATTCATTACCTACTCAATGAAAATAATTTTTCTTTAATTATTATGTTTTACGTATGAGCAATAAAATTGCAAAATATAAACATCACATGTGTGATCATATATTGTTTTATTAACCTTAAAAAAATATTGACAAGGTTACGTAAAAGTAAAAAAAAATATGTGATATTTTATGTAATAAATAATGTATGTACTTATTAAAAAAAAATATATTTAATTTTGTACTTGATTATGTTTATACGAATGTACATATGTACGTACGTGTGTATTTATATAAAACTATTTTCCGTATTGGATTTCCGTAAAAATCAACGAAATTTGCAAGCTGTAACATTAACATGAATGTAATTTTTAATTAATTTCATGCAAATATTTTAGAAACTAAGAATAATTCTTATAGTATAGAGGTTAAAAACGCAATATGCTTGTTTCTGCAATTTAAAAAAAAAATGCCCAAGTCGAAAAACCATGTTGTTTCAAAGTTCAAAGTTTAAATTAAATAAAAAATAAATTTAAATTTATTTCGACCGTATTTTTTGTACATGTAGATTTAAAAATTAAAAAATTCAAATTTTTATCGCTGATTTGCAATTATAATTATCAGTGAGGCCTGTCACTATGATTTTATTATCATTCACATTTTTGTGAGACATTAACATTCATCATCATCATTAAAAAATAATTTTGGTATCATCATTAAAAAATGAATTGTACAGCAGTTTATCGTGAACGAAAGAAAAATACATAAGCTGACTGGTCTTTTTCATTCGACTTTCCTTTTATTCAGTTTTTCTTTCATTCACTTTTTTGTGACAATGATGGCATAGGACATAGCTACATACATACATAGATATCGTTTAAATATGATAAAATTTTCCAAAAAAGAAAATTGTAATGGAAATTTAATAAAAATTTTTGCAGCTAAAACCACTGCAGTATTATTGCATTTTTTCATTTTATTTAACCTTTAATTTCTTACCAATATTATAAAAAATTCCGATTACTCGTATGCTAATAATTTTAGTTAGAAAACTATATGAGTATAGTTAAAAAAACTTGAAAAAAAATTCAAAATATTTTTTCTATTGAATTTATGACTCAATCTGCTAATAATAGAATTTATACAAATTTATAGAAATCTATTACATAGTAACGTTGTATACGTATCTCACAACAAAAATAAAAAATAGTATTTTTTAAATGTAAAATTCTATTTATATGTATGAATATACATATGTACACATGTATGTTCACGATTAAACTATGTCTAACATTATATTGAATTGTATAAAAGAAATGATTTGTAAACAAATCGTTAATCAGTTGTTGTAAGTTATAAAAAAAAACATGAACTAAATATTAATTTAAGTAAAAAATAAAATTCTAATGTAGATTGTAATCTAGAAATTCTATTAAATATACATAATATTTCGCAAATAACACACGTAAAGAAAATATTTTATATTAATAAAATGAAGGAAAATAGAGTGGATTTTTTACAAATTGAATAAAATTATATATGAAAATAGATGAGGTTTTACATACTTATATTAATTTTAGTACAATAAATATATTATTATTAAGAATTATTTAATAAAAATTTCAAAAGCATCCTTAAAATTGTATCAAATTGTATGAAACTTGTATACAATACAATTTTAATTAAATTAGTTATAACTAATATGTAGAAATTTTTTTTGCTGTTTTGAGTACTGAATTGTACACAATACTCTGATTGTTGTATAGTGAATTTGCTAATGTACTATATTTATACTATGTACTTAAAAAAAAATAGATTTATTCAAAATTCTTTTAATATCAAAAGCGAATTATGTATTTTTTCGAATGAATGATAGTATAAATTCTTGAAATTGTAAAACAAATAAAAAACTAAACATTTGGATACTTAGGTTCATTAAAAACTTAAGAATTCGCATAAAATCATACAGATAATCTGGTTTATAGAATCATATTTCATTAGAAAATATGTAAGTATTGATTTAAGCAATTGAGAATTTTGGGATTTTGTTGAATATACATAAGTACAGAAACTGATGTCAATATTTTGAAAGTCTTAATGGCTTGTGAATTGAAATAAAACAAACTTAAGCTTATTTATGAAGACAAGTTTTCCAATTTTTATTTGATGTTTGGATAATGGAACTGCGCCTTTAAAGATGATTTTTATATACTTTTATGGATTTTTCATCGTCAAAAATTTTAATAAGTACATAAGTAACAATGTCATAATTGACAATGTCATAAAATATGATGAATCGATTTGGGGGTGGAATAAAAATTTATATATATTAAGAAATATTTTATATTAAAATGATTTTTTGCACATATTTATTGCAAATTTTTTGTATTTCAATCAAGCTAATAATTAAATGTGTATTATATTGAAAAATTTAAAATTGAATTATTAAAGCAGTGTGTTTTTAAAAACAATTTTACAAAATGAATAGATAATTTTCCGAATTAGTAATTTTTCAAAAAATTTTTAAAATAAGAATTTTTTTTTGAATTCGAAGAAGACACTTTATTTACTCTAATATACATT